AAAAGACGGGGGACTCCGAAGGCGGCTGCGGGAGATGAACTGGAAGCGGTTGCTCGGAAAAATTTTCAATGATTAATAAGCTTCGAGGAACTGCCGCCGCGCCGAGACGACAGTTCCGCCGCGCTGAGGAAAAACGCCGTATGATCATTCGAACGTTGCCAAATTTCCCCAGATAAAAGATGTATTCTGCCGTGCTAAGGAAAAACACCGTATGGACCTTCAGGCGTTGCCAAATTTCCTTTTATAAAATGCTAATTTTCTGGTAAACTTATGAACAATTCCCTCCCAATTTCTCTAATAATTTTGTTCACAATTTCACCTAAAGCTTCTGAAAATTTAAAGAAAAAATATTCATAACTTTCCTCAAGAATAAACATTTTATCGAAGTAAATTTGGCAACTCTCGAATGTTCTTACGGCGTTTTTCCTTAGCGCGGCAGTATTTCAGAGGAAAGTTATGCATATTTTTCATTGAAATTTTTGGATCTTTTAGATTGAATTGAGAGCAGAATCGTCTGAAAAATCGGAGGGGAAAATGTTTACAACTTTCTCCATAAATTTGTGTTTAATTGAAGGAAATTTGGCAACGCCTGGAGGTTCATACGACGTTTTTACTAAGCAAGGTAGAGTTGCCCGGCCGGTGCGGCAGAGTGCGTTAATCTCGCCGTGCTAAATCGTCCGAGTTTCAGGAACACGCAGACGAAGCATCGATTCGCGGGTTCCAGGTTCGGGATCCTAATAAATATAAGTGAAACAAATAATGTGTCAAACGCCGCGTCGGTCTCCCCGGTTCCTCGTAGCGCTTTCTTTAATGAAGTATTATTAAGTTTAACGGAGATAAAAACATACTTTTTCCTTCCTCCCTCGTCTACCTACGTATTATTAACTTCCATCCCCTCCACGCCGCCGTTATAACAAGGCCTCCTGTGGATTCACATCCTCCTCCTCTTCTTCCGAGTTCTCTTTTCCTCCTCTAAGGATCGGGTCTCGAGAAAAGCTCAAGGAAAAAAATTAACTTCAGAGTTGGAAAGTTTGATGTATTTGTTATCTGCAGCTACGATTAGGAGGGCGAAAGTTGGGGTATCTCTCTTTGTCATATTTCCGTTTCTAGTTCCCTCCCCCTCTCACACTTGAATCTTAAGTTTTCGAGGGATGTGATGAGTAACACAACGGGGTCTCTTTTACCGTTTTTACCTGTGATATCAAGTGCGGCCGAGCATTCGATACAATACTGCCGCACAATGGAACGAGTCAATCAGAAAGGTCGGACATGAAATCCCTGGTAAAAATTTGCGAAAAGAGCTGCGTTTTAAAATACCATAGGAATTCTTATAAGCTGGCTAAAGAAGGCTACAGAAAATCATATAGCTGGCTGTAGAATGCGGAGAAAATCATGCGGCCGGGCTATACGAAGCGATAAAAAAGTATGCAGCCGGGCTATAGTTCCTATCGCCGGGGTTTACACTTTATCGCCACGCTGTTGCTTTTTCGCCATCGATTATAAAAGGCTATAAGAAAATGTGTAGAAATTCGTGTGCTTTGGAAATCATTGAGTTTGATACGGAACCACCTTATTTACAAAACACACATTATATTTTCCTTTAATACATATTTGTTTTCTTTCATCAATTAAAATGAGAATAATCCGTACAAGATGTGCAAACATTTCAAAATCATGAGTTGAATAACGCTGACTCTGCCAGATTAAATATTAGAGCCTAACACAAAGTGGAGCGGCGACGCACTGGCGCCTACAAACCTAACAGGGATACTTCACGCATTGCGCAACGCGTGAAGTATCCCTGTTGGGTTTGTAGGCGCCAATGCGTGTCTCGCGCTGGCTGCCCGCCTGCCACGGCGCTTGAAGCAACTATTTCACACCAGAGGTATTGCACAGTATCATACGAAACTGAAGGCGCTCTAATATATTAGTAATGGCAGGCATCCATCAAAATTACGGAGCTTTCCTCGCAAAATAAATCAAGATACTACGGCCCAAAAGGAGAGCAGTATTCCAAACACTCAGTAAGTCCTAGCATCCGTAATTAGTAACGTTTAGCATACACTTTATTGCCTGGCTATTGCTTAGTCGCCATCGGCTATAAAAAGCTATAAGAAATTGTGTAGCCGGCTATAGAAGCTTTCGGAAATCTTACAGCCGGCTGTGGGCCTATGGTATTTTACAACACAGATTCTACTGCCGATTTTTACCAGGGATTTTTGACTAAAATTGCGAATTTTTATGTTTATTCCGTCACATTTAAAATATTAAGGGGTGCTTCTAGAATTGAATTTCAAAAGAAAACAAGTGAAACCATTTTAAAACCTCAAAGTTTTGTATAAGTGTTATGAGCTTGTAAAGTTTCCAAATTTTGTCCAATTTCTCTCATTGACTCGCTCCACTGAGTGCCGTGCTGAGGAAGAACGCCGTATGAGCCTTCAAATGTATTGCCATTTTCCCTTCAACAAAAGACAAATGTACTGGAAAAATTGCGAACATTTCCCTCCAAATATTCAGACAATCTTCTTCGCACTTTAATCTTAAACATCTGAAAATATTAAGAAAAAATATGCATAACTTTCCTCAAAAGTACCCGTTTTATATAAAAAAACGATTACCGTGCTCCGTGCTGTGACATCAGAAACATTAAATAAAGGCATCACAGGTCAATATACTCTGAATACGTTTGGCCCCTTTCAATTGAAGTATAGCGATGCCATGCGCTCAAAAATTCATACGTTTCATTTTTAGATTTTTTAGAGTTCTTTTTGGATTTTTTCATAACCTCCGGTGCGCCCTCATTAGAGTGAATATGCACTGCAATTGGATTGTTTTTTTTTTTTTTTTTTTCAAATATCCCTTTATCCCGTTGCTTTCGGCCATCTTGTTGTTGGGCTGGTGCATCCATTTGAACTCGTTGCCACTAGTATACGATTCTATAGGCAGGTTGAAATCCAAGAGCACTCCCTGTATGCTAAGCGTTTATACGTGGTGCAGTCGACGTATGGATAATAATTCCTTGACTTTAGAGAAAGATACAAGCGCAGGCAGTAGACGGGACCTGTTTATTTTCTCGACAAAACGTGGCAACTTGGCGAGATGAATGACAGAAATCCTGTAATTTGCGCAACAGCGATCGATGGACCAGCAAGGTGCGAGGATCACGGCGCATCGCTTGCAGCTGCTCGTTAGGCTATAACCGGTCTAATGCGACGCCATCAGACTTCGAACTTGGTGCTTGAGCAGCAGTTTCATTTTCGAAAAAAAAAAAAAAAATAAGTCTAGGATTTTTGAGCTGCCTTTCACCTTGAAAACGGAATGTAAATACGAATAAACGGACGATTAAACTGCCTAGACGGTGTCTCTTCGAGCATATCTTCTTTCACCGATGGTGCTGACACCGATGCCAACAATCATTCCGTAAAAAAACATCATTCCGTTTTTTTTTTTTTTTTTTTTTTTTTTTTTTTTACGAGCGTCCATTCCTTCAACCCTCCCTCCTCCCAAATAGAGTAATGCATGTGCAAAAAAGCCGTTCCTAAATTACGTAACGCACTGTTTCTGCTTTTTTACCCCCCTCCCCTTGAAACGCTTTTGTGACGTCGGTCCTTATCCTCTAAAACGTACGAACAAAATGGCGTAACGATCTCCTCGACCCCCCTTCACCCCCCCCCCGTTACGTAATTTAGGGACGGCTCCAAATTGAAAGAGGGCACATGTCCACGTCTTCCTCTTTCGAAATTGACCTTATTTTGACGGCCATAGGCGTGGCGTATTTTGCGATATATCGATTGATACGCCACTCAAACCTATGGGAAAAGATCAATTATCAGGGTGTTCGCAGCGAACACCTTAGAAATCGATTTTTTACCATAACTTCAAATGGCGAGATATCGATTATCGATCATTCACGTCACGCCACTGTTGACGGCCTTATACTCTCTATGGGCAGAGGTATGTACTAGCTGGGGCACCACTCGAAAATTATTAATTTTTATTAATATCAGTACTTTTGCTCTGTTACAGCAAGTTACATCTCAGCATGCAGTCGAAACGATCCAAAATTAGACGCATGTGTGGTGCGACATGGCCAAGCGGCCATAGCAAAATTCATCAACGGTAAGGAGGACGTGCTTTTTTTTTCTCTCTCTCTCTCTTTCCTATCGTATATTAAGCTAAGTATTAAGTATGCCAGCATAATGCGTATATGCTTATATAAATAAAAAGTAAAAAACACTAAAAATGTAGCCCGAACCATAAGTATAGGTTAGTGGAATAGTGCTGGGTTCACGCTCCTCTGCGGGAAAATCAAGGCCAAAAAATTCCAAAAAATCCATTTCAATTGAACTACAATTTCCGAAAAGGAACCACTATTTCTGGCTCATCCGTGGAAACTCTTATGTGCATTGGGAAACTAATGGTACATGCGGTGTTTCTAAATTGAGGCAGAAATTGTAGTTCTGAATTGCAGAATGGAGTTCGATAGAGTCAATTTAGATTTCCTCGCAGAATTAAGTACATTATTCTACCATCGTGTATGACGAAAATTGGCACGTAGTAATTTTAGCCAAATTATTCAAGAATAATAATAAATGAATAAAAATTGCCCGTTTAAAATCAAATCACTAAAGCGCTCCTCATAGGTTTTTAAAGACACGTGCCTGAGTCTGGAAACTTCCTTCGATTATAGTTTTAATTTTGAAGCCAGAATTGTTATTATTTATGCACAATGTTACTGTTACATGATAGAAAAACACTTCCAGCGAATTCTAATCGTGACAAAGATGATTTTCGACATGTCATATCGATGACGAAAGTGCGAAACCACATATCTCCGTTCACGGCGTTACAGACGTCCTGTTATGCTTCATGCATGGTTTCCTTGAAAAGTCAACGTAACTTCCTTAATTTTTCCTCTCTGTGAAAATATCAAGCCATAAAATTGGCTTTTTTCTCCTCGAAAAAATAAAAGAGAGGCCAGGCCGACGTTTTGAAACACCTCAATGGAGATACGTGGTTTCGCTTTTTGGCCATCGATATGTGAGGGGCTTAGAGGACAGGGGCGTAAGTGTAACCTCTGAAAAGATTGAGATATTAATAATTTCACCCTGGTAAAAATTGGCGAAAGGAGCTGCGTTTCAAAGTACCATAGGAGTTCTCATAGCCAACTAAAGAATGCTATTGAAAATCATATAGCTGGCTGTAGAAAGCGGAGCAAATAATATAGCCGGGCTATACGAAGCTATAAAAAAGTATACAGTCGGGCTATAGTTCCTATCTCCGGGCTTTACACTTTATCGTCATTGGCTATAAAAGGCTATAAGAAATTGTGTAGAAATTCGTGTGCTTTGGAAATCATCGTTTGATACGGAACTACCTTTATATTTACAAAACACACATTATATTTTCCTTTAAAACATATTTTTTTTTCATCAATTAAAATGAGAATGGTCCATACAGAGTGTGCAAGCATTTCAAAATAATAAGTTGGAAAACGCTGACTCCGCGAGATTAAATATTAGAGCCTAACATAAAGCGGAGCGGCGACGCACTGGCGCCTACAAACCTAACAGGGATACTTCACGCATTGCGCAATGCGTGAAGTATCCCTGTTAGGTTTGTAGGCGCCATTGCGCGTTTCGCGCTCTCTGCCCGCCCACCGCGCCGGAGCGTGCCACGGCGTCTGAAGCAACTATTTCACACCAGAGGTATTGCACAGTATCATAAGAAATTGAAGGCTCTCCAGCATATTAAGAATGACAGGCATCCTTCAAAAGTACGAAGCTTTCCTCGCAAAATAAATCAAGATACTACGGCACAAAAAGAGAGCGGTAGTCTAAAAACTAAGTTCTAGTATCCGTATTGAGTAACGTTTAGCATAAACTTTATCGTCTGGCTGTTGCTTAATCGCCATTGGCTATAAAAGGCAATAAGAAATCGTACAGCCGGCTACAGAAGCTATTGGAAATCTTACAGCCGGCTTTATGTCTATTGTATTTTGGAACACACATTTCACTGCCAATTTTTACCAGGGCAACTGTAACTAGTCTTAAAATATTGAAACTACTGAAAAATTTACTACTAAAGTCCAATGAATTTTCTTTCCGCCGTTAGGCTTTATGTAATTTTGAAACTTCAAACACGTATTTTTTTGAAAAAAGAAAGACTGCACTTATACGTCTCGTCCACCAAGCCCGTCATTTACACCCTTCAAATTATACGTAAAACATCATCAACACTGGCAGATGGTCTACTTTGGGCCCAAACTGAATGCGCATTTAGATAATAACCGAGAGACGACATTAATTTAAGGCACATACATTGAATAGTATTTGTGGATTATTTGGGGTTCATTCATTATGCAGCGCGGCGTGCACAATTCGTCGCTCCTCTGACGTAAGGGCGTATCTCGATTTCCGCATGAGCCTTGAAAAGCGCAGAGTTATATAGGAAATAGGGCTCACGTAGGAATTGAGATACGCCCTTACGTCAAAGGAGCGACGAATTGCGCCTCGCGCTCGAGAAGACTGAATAATAATCAAAGCATAGACACCGTAACAGAAAATCGTAATTTCGCTTCCGCACTGGAACTAGATCAGAGCTGGAGTGGGGCAAGGTTAAGGATCAAACTTTCCCTGGAAAGTCGAGTGCCGGGAATGGGAACGAGGATTCCCAGAAAAATTCCCGGAAATACTCCGCACCTCAAAACGTGAGTCATTGCCGTGTACATTCGACGTGTTTAGTGGACTTGTGTGTGTTCCTCTATCAAAGTTTCCAGGGAAAGTGCATATTTGAGTTGGGAAATTTCTTGGAAAATTCCCGGAAATGGGAAAGTTCCCACACACATCCCTGCCTAGCCGAGTGCCGATATGTAGAGACTGATACCTTTTTTAGATAAACAAAATTTGAAAAAAAAAAAAAAAAAAAAAAAAAAAAAAAAATAATCCGAAGTAAAGTTACGACGTGTTTTTTTTCGGCATCAACTATTTAAGTAATTCGGAAACAACGAAAATCTACTTTTCATAATGAAATATGATACAATTTTATCATAAAATTCATATCATCATATTTTTATCATAATTTTTTTTTTGTTTGGTTGGATTACCCTGAGTACATTGTACCTCATCACGACGGATAAAATTTAGTTATCACGACTAAATCGACTGGCTACAGTCGGAAAGTTTGTACTTTCATTCTCGAATCCAATTGTACATTTTGTTTTTTTAGAGAGAATAAAGCTGAGAGGCTATCCATTTATTACGTGCGACCCCTGAAAGTGGGGTCGGGTGGGGTGGAAGAGGAGGTCAAGAGGTTTATTTTGGGGACCAATATATGAATTCAGAATATAACGACCATTTTTAAATTATTTCTTGTCCCCATCGTGAAGTAAGATTATGATCATTTAAACTGTTGCTTTCTAATTTCAAACCTCTATGCTTATTCTTTCTAATGAATCGTATATATGAGTTCTGGTCCATTTGCAGGTGACATTAAATATAGGGTCCCCTTACTTGATCCATTGGAAATAACGGAGCTAGATGTTAACCAAGGATCAAAACAGTTTGGACTCCTCCTGAGGTTACGGAAAGCCAAAATTCACGGCATGAAACACGCCTTCTTCAAAGCTGCACGGTCAGTCTACATTGTTTCGCTAATATTCCCTATAACCTTATACGCACAAGGATTAAGCAGTTATTCTTTCTTTTAATATTCTAATTATTTCTTCTTTGTATCTAAGATAAAGTGTCTCTTGAACGCAAGAGATACAGGTAAATAAATGTACTTTTTACGGATTAAATCGCATGAAAATCACGATGGGGACGTCAAAAAATAACCTACAACACTATATTCTCAAGTTCCAAGTTTACCCTTAGAAAGTTTATTCAGCTGGCTGTATCTCTTGCGTGTAACCGACCCATACTGCCGTGCTAAGAAAAAACGCCGTAGGAACCTTTAGGCGTTGCCAAATTTCCTTTGAAAATACACGAATTTCCTGGTAAACTTATGAATATTTTCCCCCCAATTTTTCGGATAATTTTGTTCGCAATTTCATCTAAAATACCTAAAAAATTTATAGGAAAAATATTCATAATTTTCCTCAAAAATAAACATTTTATCGAAAGAAATTTGGCAACTCTCGAATGTTCATACGGCGTTTTTCCTTAGCATGGCAGCATTGAGTTGCGGGGGGAAACTGGCAAAACCACACACAATCGCGAAAAAAAGCATCATGTGTCTGGTGAAACTGACAATGAGCCTCGTCCTGATTCGGGAGTTAAAACATTGATATAAGGAATCGCGAAAATTTGGATCAGCGGTGACGGTTCCTTAAGGTGAAAAGGAGATTGAAATATATTATTGTGCTTAATTTGACGCCATGCGGACTATTAAAACGTGCAACTCATCAAACTACCGTTAAAAGTAAAGCATTTAGAGTTTTTCTGTTTTCATGGCCCTGTAGGTAATTAAGACAAGTGTGCCATTAAATTCATGGGAATCGTAAGTTTTCCAGAACGAGGGTGTTTTCCGACGCGCCATGTTTTGAAGCCCTGGCCCCGGTGCGGAAGGTCCTTTTGTCCGTTTTCATTTACGCTACGCCTCGATTTTGCAGACCAGTCGTTGCTATTCCTTACTTTCCCTCTGGAATGAAGTCTATCCACCATTCCTCTCAGAACACATTGCTCCTTATTGTGCTCAATTGATCTTACCCAATACGAAGGCGATTCGTCACTTCTACGTCTGAACTAGTTCATATTATTGTACAGAGTAAAAACAAAAAACCGCGGGTAAATAAGGCCAAAATGTTAAAAATACTACGTTATAACACATACCAATATTAAACACGCACAGGACGCTCCACACAGCAATCCCATTAACAACAGCTGAAATCGAATGAAGATGCTCGATCTGCACGGAGCAACTATACCAGCTCCTAAGTAGCTCTCGTTGCCTACGCAAAATTTGAAGGCGCACTGACTAGATCCAAGGACGAGTGTTACTTGATGAAGATGCTCACTTTACAACGAGCAATTTTCCCAGCTCCCAAGCAACTCTTGTTGCCTACGCAGGTTTTGAAGGGAAACTGGTTAGCCGTCACAGGTTTATTTTCAGTTGCGAAAAACAATACAAATTAATAACACATTTGGTGGCAGCTTGATTTCAGTTGTTATCATGCAACCAAGCGGTTGTTTGATATCAACTGCGTTCATGTCGCAACTCATTTTTGTTGTTTTTGGTAGTTGAAAATGAGGCTGTGGCGGCTTGGAACGTCCCGCTTTTTCAGTGTTTTTTGACACTTGGTCCATATTTTGCAATTAGAAACCACTATATTTCTGGCTTATTTTAGAAACATCATAAATGCCATTGGTTTCCTTACACAGAAAGGTGATTTTAAGTATGGAAGAGCCAGAGATAGTGGTTCCTTATTGCAAAATGCAATCCACGCTTGCTCTCAGCATTTACTTTCTTTCTACTCTCTTTTCGGGCTATGCAATTTGTGCATTTTCGTATTATTCTCATCTTACCATTGCTGTCTGTTTTTTAGAACCAATTTAACAGGCAGACACATTGAATGGGATTTTGAAATTCCCAAAATATCAATTCTGAGTAAGTACGATGTCTCTGGTCAAGTCCTCATCCTCCCGATATCAGGCTCAGGGAGAGCAAATATCACCATTAGTAAGTAAATTTTTATCGGTTGGTTTTGTGGGCCCGCACTAACACCTACGCAGTCGCCGTTGATGGTGCGCGGTATAACATTGAATCAGTTGTTTTCAAAATGGAACAGGTCCATTTTTTGATGAGTCTTGGTCAGCATATATCATTTAATGCAAGCCAAGGCTCGTGCAAAAAGGGACTTGTTCGCTTTTGAAAACCACTGATTCCTACATAACATGACGTGAGTTTAAAAAATGACGAGGTTGATCAGAAAATCTCGATTCATAACATTTGGATCGTCTTCTCTGGGTAGATGACTGACTCATTTTCAGATTCACCATTTGAACAACATTTTACGGCAATATCCAACGGTCTAAATAATTTTACAACTATGTTTAGTTTTGCTTGTTAGGGGGTCAAGGAGCTAGTAGAAAAGACGCAATTTTTACATGTTTAAGTACTAGCTGTGTAGATATGTGGTTATATGATTATCACGATATCGTCCGTTCACTGTTTGTACCTTAAAATTGGACCTGAAGTGAGCTCTAAGATCAAGACTCACGGAGTCATATTCGACTCTGAGTCATGTCTAAACTACTATCAACCCTACCCCCTAGAGAAATATCTAAAGGGGGGTTGGAAAGAGAGGGGTTCATTTCTTGGAATTCTCGAAAGAAATTGTTAGGTTTTGACTTCGAGTTCAGTCTTCTCAAACAAACGATAAGAGCTTTCTGTTTTTGAGCAATTTTATCTGCATCTCCTTTTCAATTTAACTCGTGCATGAGGCATTTAGAATGCGGGAAGAGAATTTGCAGATGGAAACTGTAGATAACAAGAAATACCCCCGATTTCTAAAATCTAAAAACATACTCTAAAATAAGACGGTAAAACCTCTTTTTTGACATGATATATGCTCATTTTTAACCGTAAATGTTGGGGGTCAGGCTCCCTCAAAATGTTGAGTTTTCGGGAGCACAAATCGGGAATTTCGAGTAAAGAAGGTCCACTTTTGATTTCGAAACTAGTTCCTTATAAAAAAAAAAAAAAATAAATAGAAAAAAATGAAAGAAATTTAAATGTTGGGTGATCTACATATCCAACTCAAGTTAGGATGTCTCTCTCCTGGAACGCACGAGTTCTTCTGTGAATCTATTGGAAAAGGGGCCTAATTATTGTGAGTGATTGCATCATGCAACAGGCAACATCATAAATAATGCCTCTCGTAAATCAAAAGACTAATATCTGATGTTCTGACGCAAAAAATGCCCTTATCAGTTGATATTTTTTTCCATAATTACGGCTTCAAGAGTTGCAGCACTCTATAAAAAAGATGACAATTGAAAAGGGTGGGAACTGAATACTTGAAAAAGTAATAATCATTACATTAATTTCAGCAAAAGTTCCAACTCATGAAACGATGAGACATGCCACTAAATGAGCACAAACCAGTTTCACTTCCTCCCGGTTCCCTGATATTTCCTACGATTTTGGTTCCCCTCTGCTATTTCAAACGCCTTCTATTTCTTGTGATACAATTTCTTATACATTCTGTAAAGATTTTTCCTACAAACCTCTAAAACTGAGAGGTGAGAACCGAATGAAAATAATGAATAACGACACATTTTTCGTATAGTGGACTGTGTTTCTTCTACCTTACGTAACTCCTCTTACATTCCATTCACCAAAGAAGTTTGATTAATTGGACTGCATTTCGCAATGAGGAACTATAAATTCTGGCTCATCTGAAAAAACACTTGTGTGCATAAGGAAACTATTGGTACATACGTTGTTTTTAAGCCCGGCTAGAATTTAAAGTTCCAAATTGCAAAACGCAGTCCAATTAACACTAAGAATGTTCAGAAGGTTATCATCCAACTCTCTTTGGTCAAAGTAAGTACCATTTGAAGCATAAAAAATGAGGTTTTTTATCAGTAACTATAAACTTTTCCTTCGAATGAGTACAAGCGTTATGTTAACTTATTTTTAGGTCGATGCGACTTGTTTACTTTCTTGAATGACACAAAGACGATTGATTTGTTTCAGCTAACCTGGAAATTACCTACAAATATGACTGGGATTACGTGAAAAAGGCAAATGGAAAACAATACATGAACATCACAACCAGTAGTCTTCAATTTGAGAATGGAAAAACTTATTTCGATTTGGAGAATTTATTCAACGGGGATAAACTACTGGGTAATTCCTTCTTTTTTTTGTAATTCTTTTCTCGCTTTTCAACTCCCCTCTTTTTTCTTCTTTTATGAACCTTGACGGTGGGTAGAGGGCATCCATGAAGAGATGGAGAGATGCCAGCTTCCGGAGGATCTCTACCATGACAGATTCCTGTGGAGAATAGGCGTCGCAGAGCGCCCTAGCGCGCCGTAAAAGCGGCTCATACACATACATGAACCTTGACTGAGAAAATATTTGTGTTCTTATTGCTAGTTTCGGTTAGTGCACAAAATGAAGTGAAATAAAAAAATCGACTCCTGCACGCGGAAAAGTGTTCAAATATCCGATTGCAACGTTGCACGTCTCTACTCATGTTTTATTTTTCATCAATTTGTTTTTTTAAAAAAAAAGCTACACGAATTTTTTAGAAGTTTCCGTGAAATTTCCGGAATAATTTATGATATAATCACATAAAAATTCGACGCGATTTTTCGTTCGTTATGTTTTCTTTTTATCAAACCAAAATTAATTTTACACGAATCAAGTTTCAGAATTGCTGCATTGTTTAAACATCATCCGAGTTTTTGAATCGTTGCATTTAAGATGGGTATTTACCCTTTAATTGTGGTAATAACCGAGCAGAGGCCGTCAAAAAAATGACGCGTGGTCCTAGTTTTACGAAAATTTTAGCGTCGCGAAAGCCAAGGAAGGGAGCGCGGTCGAACGTAGAGTCATCTTAACAGTGTGAGGCGCCTACATTCCAGCTACCAACAACGTGCCTTTAAGTATTATGGTCCAATAGTTACCGCAAATAACTCTCGCATTGCGTTTGGTGCAATGCGAGAAGTATTCACGCAGTCTTGCAGGCGCTAACATGCGTTGGAAACTGACCGCGCTCTTTGGCGCAATCCGTGAAGTATTCCTGCAGTCTTGCAGGCGCTGATAGGAGTTTGACACCGACCGCATCGTGTTAGGCGCGATTATTCAAACTCGTGGCATCGGACAATGGGGCTTAATAGACCCATATTGTGTTTTGACACCGTATCAGCATTCCAACGTTGCAGCTCGTTTCTCGCGATGAAATATTATTCCTGAGAAAAGTTAGGAAATTTCTTTACGTTCGCTTTCGTCGCCTATTGGTGTTCACACCGCGAGCCTGTAATCCTGAGATCGAAGGATTGTGGAAATTTTCCTGCTTTTCCTTTACTCGTTGTTTTCGATTTTTTTAAATGAGAAAGAAATAGCTTGAAATATATACGGAATATTCTGCCACAGGAGAAGAAAAATAAAGAATGTTTTGAATAAATTACGTTGAGTATGACAGGGAGTCTACTTCTGGAACGTGGCAAAAGGCGATCCGTGGCTTCGCACTTTGGCCATCGATTCGTTCACACATCTCATTCAAAAGTTGATCCCGAACTTCCCGTTGTGTGATTATAGTCAATTTACGTAAGATTTTGAAGTACGCTTCCGCCGTAAATCCTTCATCCAAGGCGATTTTCATGATGACAGACGCCTTGGGCAGCCGAATTATCAGCTGACGTTTCAAGGCCGTGATGTTGATTTGGTCTTCTTTTAAAAAAATAAAATAGGAGCGAAGATTTTGAGACACCGCGACAGAGAAACGCATTTTTACAGTTTAATATCGATTTAGGTCTCCATTGGTTTTTATGATGGAATTCTCTTGACTTTGAAAGGACGAGAACCTGATGACGTTTTTGGGCATAATTTTTACGTGTCAGGTGGTGCCTATACATATACAATTCTAGCTGAAGTGCACTTAAGCTATGAATTCACGATTGCAAAAATTTCAAAGGAAATCGACAAGGCCACCGTGTATGAAGGTTATTTCAATTGTAATCTTCCGTCACATTCTTACGGCGCAATGATACAACTATTTGAACTCTCCGGAATGCGTGAGGTATCACGCCGCATTTGAAGGCGTTTTCAAATCAGCCAAGGACCGATACCCGGATTATCGTGTTGCATAGTTCATATTCTTTTGTTTTCTTCCGTGCCACTTGTTTATTTTTAATCCTCGTATAAAAACCACCCATTTGCTAAATACAATTCTAGCTGGAACGCATTTCAGCTATGCATTCAACACTGCAAAAATGTCAAAAGAAATCGACAAGGCCAGCGTGTATGAAGGCCATTTCAATTGTAATCTTCCATCACATTGTTACGGCGCAATGATACAACTATTTGAACTCTCCGGCCAATGCGTGAGGTATCACGCCGCATTTGAAGACGTTTTCAAACCGGCCAAAATTCGATATCAGGTTTGTAGTTTCGCAAGAAATTGGAGCACAAAATCAATAGAACGACTGATTTTACGAGCTAATGCAACTCAATAAATTTGTGGTTTATTTGACTGAAGCGTTTGAAAACAGTTCGGTCAGAAATTTAAATCAACCTACGTTCCATTATAAACTTGGTAAAACAGAAGCCAGAACCCAAAGCTTGCAGAAAATATGCCTTACGTCAATGATTGTTTCGGGATCATCGAATCGGATCACTGGTGGATTGAACTGATAGAAACGAATCAATGATAAATCACTGGTGGATTGAACTGATAGAAACGAATCAATGATAATATGGATAAAAGGAAGCCAACCCTTGTTGGCTCTCATGAAATCTCAGTCAAAGCGTTGGAAAAAATCTAGTAAATGTTTTTTCTCAGTTTTTTTTTTTTTTTTTTTTTTTTTTTTTATCGAAAGTGAAATGTTTAAGAATTTTTTTGGGCGTGGGAAATTTTTGAAAAGAGCATAAAAAAAATGTTTCAACGTCTGCCAATCACTGAAAAATTGTCCGATTTACATTAGGTTTGAACAGGGTGGCTTTTTTTTGCGTAGAATTGATTTCTGAAATAAAAAAGTAGGGATGCCATTTGAAAGGTTCGACTTACGGGTGGGGCAACCCCCGCCCCGCGCCCCTCCCGCGGTTTGGAAAAATGTCAAATACGCCAAAAGGTGTCCCCCTCGATATAAACGAACACATCTATTACCGTTTTTCGAAATTCCGAAGCGTTCAGCAGATATGCAAGGTGGCTCCTTTTTCGTGAGACACCCTGTATTTGAAATTTTACAGATATTTTGTTTTTGTGGCCCTGCAAATATGCAGACAAATTATAAATAAAATAGACTGATTAGGGGAACACTTATACTGTCGTGCTAAGGAAAAACGCTGTACCTACAGGCTTTCAGACGTTGTCAAATTTCCATTGATATATTAAGAAATTCTGGGAAATTGTACCTAGATATTTTTCTGTGACTTGGTCGGAGATTTTTATTCACTATCAGACATAAATTATCAATTTTAGCTGCGTCAACTTTAAGTATAATTTTTTTCCTCATGGGATTTCAGGTAATAACATGAACTATTTCCTAAATGAAAATTGGAAGGAGATAACGAAGGAGTTGGGGCCGGCGGTGGGTGACGCTATTGGAGAAGTTTTCAGAAGAATGCTGACCAGCATAGCCGAGTTGGTGCCTTGGGAATTCATTTACCCTGACATTCCTCCAACGAAGGACTAAGAAAAGATTCTCGAAAAGTAGGTGCTTTTCACTCACAATCAGTTAAAACTTGTTTAAAAGAAAACTGAGAGGGCTTTACAAAAACTTGAGACGAAACTTCCCCAAACTTAAATCCATTTGATTCTGCTGTAAATTTTGCACCTACATGGACGAAGGATCAAATTTGTGAATAAGGAAAGAGGTGTTTAAGAAAAATTGAGATATGTGCTGATCATTTCAAGTAGAGCTAGTCTGAAAGTAGTCCATGCAAAAAAAGAAATTTCAGAAGTCACTTTTCGGTTTCAAAGAATGATATGAAAATTACATTGGTCTTTTAGAAGAATAAAAATAAATAGAAAGTCAATTCTTTCCTTCAAGGACAATCCATATGTGGAGAAAGTCAGAGAATCGAATGACTGTCTTACTTTTCCTGGAAACTAATCAAGTAGAACCAGCTAAGCCCATTCCTGAGTATAAGGTCATGATTTTGATTAAGGAAACTAAAAATTCTTTCAAATAATGAGCAAGATTCAAAATTCGGAGTGGTGAGAGATTTAGTTTGATATTGGAAAATTTGAAAAAAAAATCAATTGCGATAAATACTCAAAAATGAAATATTCTGAAGTTGCATTGTTACAAAGCAACTAAAATTATTCCTTCATGTTTCATTAAAATTCCTTCAGGACCCAAGTGCAAAATTTTTAATCGATTAATTTCACCTCAAATTTCTTATCAGTAATAAAACTTCCAATTTACACATAATCATTTACTACTTTTGTGGAATTTCAGGGACGAATATGAGGTACCTGCTCAATGAAAACTGGATGCAGATTAAGGCCAGTTAAAGAGACCACAAGCAACCAGTGCCAGAGAGATTTCTTGAGGAATACCGATCAGCGCCTTAAAAACTAAGTACCCTACCATTCCTCCAACCAAAGACTGAAACTATTCTTTAAAAGAGTTTTATTCTTTTAAAAGCTTTTTCCAAAGAGAAGGAGAATTTATGAATATCAGCAGAAAGAACTGAGTACCATTGGTAACTTGAGAGTTAGTAAAAATACTCTATCATAAATTCAAAGCAATGACAATAAATGATTGTCCAAAATATATGTTAGTACAAATTCACGATAAGTACCTAAGTGATAAAACTTGAACTAACAAATACCAATTCTGTATTATTAACATATTTCAATGATATTACCTAAAATTAATTTTTGGATGTGAAATGTGTCTTCAATTTATGAACACCATAAGTAATACGGGTTCACCTACATGTATACAAATAATTTAGTTTTTAAGTACCAAAACAGAAGCTTCAAGCAATAGATCGAAAAAGCCTGAGCAAGAGAGATTAAAAGTGATATATTCAAATAATGAGACAAAGTGTAATCCATTATTAAAAATAAAAAACGAACTACTTGTGTGGCATTGACGACCATTAATTCAAACACGGCTGAAGCTCTGTTTCACAATTAAGATTACCTGAATAATCTTTGTAAATAGACTTGTATAAATGTATTCACTGATTGTGTGAGATAAAAATGAATGTTGAAGCAAAAAAGTGTCTTCTTTTTTAGTGTTTTTACCACAAACCAGATTTTGATGTTTTATTCATTAAGCAGAAAACCAAGTAAAACTGAAACTTGCAATTTTGGGAATATATTCTATGTAATCTGAGGTTAATTTGCAGAGAGTTGAAAGGCGTGAACTAGTTTAGCTCTCCGTTAAAAAAATAAAGTGTGAGAGAAAATTGAAGTTGTGCAGTTATGCTGATTCTGTCTGATTGATTTTCTATTACCGCAAGCTCATCGGGTACTTCAATAAAAAATAAATATTTCACTTATTATCACAATTATTCAATTTTATTTCAGAGAAAATGTTCCATCAAAAATTGATTGCACCCTAAATTAAATGAACTTAGTAATAATACTAAGGAAAACATGTCTTTGCTGTATAACTGCAAGATGGAGACAAAAATACCTAAAATTGGAGGGGATTTTATAGCCACTTATGAATGTGTGCAAAAATTACGTACCTGAAGGCAATGACAGATTTAACTTTATATACAATTATCTTAATCATGTGAACAGTACACTTTTCTTCTTTTTCTTTTTCTTAGAAATTGAACTAGAGCTAACTTCCATAGATTCCTCCATTGGTTGATCGGTCACAGGAGTGTCTTCAATGCTATTGTCATCAAATTTAGTGTGTTTTGGTTCAGCTGGAAATGCTGAATCTACCTCCATTGCTCCTCCACCAGATTTCTTCTGTTTCTTTTCCTTCAGTATTTCCCTAATATGCTTCTTCTTATGTTTCCGTTTGGTGGCTGCTGGGACGACAAACTCTATTTTAGACTTTTCTTCCTCCATTGCTTCTTCGAGCTTGTCTTGGTCACTGCCTTTTAATTTTTTCTTCAACTTTTTCTTCAGTTTCTTTTCTCTGAGTTTTTGTCGCCTGCTTTTCTTCTCAGTACCTAATGCTTTTTCAGCAGTTAATTTTGCCATTTCTTCATCTCTGCGTGTTTTGATTACTTCGTAAAGCTCCTCAATGACTGGGCGATATTTATCCTTCTCCATTTGCAGTGACGTTGCCACCCATTTCTGAAAAAAACAGGAGAATTTACTTCACACATGATGCCTGAAAAATTTCACTTTTTTGTCCCCTATGAATGGGTAAACTTCATGCCTGGGCTTGCAATTCTTGAGGACTTTGACAGGGGTGGTTAATAATCGGTACTATTACAGTATTTTTTCAGTACATTCCTATGAAATTAAGTGCCTCCTCAGCAGAAAAATTCAGTACTTTTTCAGTACCTCCATTAAACGGAATTCGAAATTTTGAAATTCTTGCTCAAGTTGTGACAAAAATAACATAGCCACAAAATTTCATTGGTGGCTTGAAGTTCAACTGACTGCATAAACTCGATATTGCAAGAAAATACTACTCTTAAGAATCAACGCGCAGCTTCACTAAAAATCACGCATCGTATGAAGGACTAAATTCCAGGCCTTGTTGTGGAATTTCTACACTTTTCAGTACTTCTAGACAGCCCTTAAAAAATCAGTACTATCTTTGGACGTTCCGGATTAGTAAACACCCTGTTTAAGCCACTATGGAAGATTCTCAGAATGATTAAAACATCAGTGAAGAGAGAGAGTGGTTTTCAGAATCTTTCAGCCAAATAACCTTAAGGCCTCCAGTTACAAGTTACAAGTTTGGGAGGAGGGGGGAGGGGGGCAAAAAAGAAAAGCAAATTTTAACTTTTTTGCAATTGATTCAATCATGAGAAGAGTTAAGAACTCAAGAGACTTTTGAGTGCATGTGTTAAATATCACTTCGGCCCTAATTAGTATGATATTTTTAAATCTAATTCCAGGTTAGGATTTAAAGTTAATACTATTTTTAATGCAATAATTTAGAAAAAATTTGCGCAAAACTTTGGTGACGAATTCTCAGAAGATCAGTGATTCGATACCTACATTCATCATTACAAACTACACCTCCTCAAATTTTCAATTTTCATCATAGTTTGTTCTAGAGCTCTGTTGGGCGGCTCTCTAGAGTTTTTGTTTTTGACATGACACACACCCTCACGCTTTTATATGATCACTTTACAGACACCTAGCTTGTAAATGGCCAGAGTTAGATGAGCAAATATTTTGGAGTGGATCATAATTTACTTACATTTTTTTATGAATCTACATGCGTGTGGATCAAACTTAATGTACTCCACATTTAGTATAAGTCCACTCATAACCGGCACTTGACGTAAATAAAATGTATACTTTTATAATTTTAAAATGAAACTTACCACGAATAATTTCCTCTTCTTTTGAGGAACTGTTTGGCCTTGAAATTTTTGCAAAATTTCTAAATGCACAGGAGATAAATTGCTTTCACTAGATAAACTTTGAATTGCTTTCCTCCATACTTTATCCAAAATTTTACTCTGGGCTGCTATTTGTCCTATATTTTTTGATTTCTTGGAAGGCGACGTGAGAGGTTTCTTTGGCTTAACCCTGAAAGAAAATAAAATAAGATGTAACATGTAATAATCATGGAGTACATAGAGTCGTAATGTGAATGGGAAAGCTGGGATCATGTCCTGGACGACGAGTTCTGAGTCCCGTGTGCGCCAAGCTTCGGTCATTTTTTCAATACATGTTTGATCCAAAATGGTGATGTGGAATATGTGGTAATTCCTATCCTCTTTATTTACATCCAATGGCCAGGTCCATACGTATTGCGAACAATTGATTATGTATAGAAAAAGTGACCTGGTGCCACACAGGAGTCATGGAATTTGGGACCTGGAAAATGCTTAAAAGTGGTCCCAGCTCTTCCAACCACATCATGACTCAATATACTCTGTGGTAATAATTACAATAGACGTATAAATATGTGCACATATGTTTAAAAATGCAATGTAATTAGATATTTAATTATACTCAGGTATAATTGTGAATTGTGTCTTAATTTTGTTTTGAAAAAAAAAAAAAATGACGACCGAAAAGAGTATGTTTTCACGTATTTGGAAATTTTATCTAAAATAAATTATGAATATCATTGCTAGGAAGTCGACTTTCAGATAAAAAAGGAAAGAAATTTCCTTGACAGTTGATTTAATTTCTCCATTATATTTAGTTTTTCACAATTCTGCTTTTTTCAATCAACGGGAAGAAAATTTGCTCTTGGTTATACTTACTTTCAGCACCTAAATTAGGTTCAAAATAACAGTTGCTTCCATGATTTTACTTGACACTGGGTCAACTTTAATACTTTTGAAAATAACACTTCAGATGATGTATCTGGGGGCTAAAGAAATATCTAATTGCTGGCACACAAAGTCGTCAGGGTCAATATACATCTACACTGTGTTTGGGTCTGTTGAATGAAGATAAAACTTTTTAGAGAAATATTTGAATGGGTACTGCAGGAAAGAGAAAAAGGTAATAATGATTTCAATTTAGTGAGTTATAGTTTTCTTTCAATAGACAAAACTTATCATCAAAAAAAGATAATCATTTACAAGGTACGTTCAACTTACAAAGTTTTACTTTTCCGTGAGAGAGCTTTGACATCCTTCAATTTGCGCTCCTTTTTCAGACCTCCTGGTGATTTTTTTGAAAGTGTCATTTTGACAACCTGCTTGGAGGGGTAAAAAAAAAAAAATCAAAAGAAAATAACATGAAATGTTCATCGAATACAATTCGTTTTAATATGTGAGCAAATATGGCACTGAAAAATTTTTGAGAGAGGTGACAAATTTGAATAGAGTAATACCTTTCAGACAGAAGAGTGAACAGTTGAACACCCTGTCATAAATTCAATTTCCACTTATAAAGTAAAAATTCAAAACCTTACTAGTGCCATCAGGTGTTGCTAAGAATGCGCTGCTTTTCCTTATATTTGAGAAGAATGTTAAGGGGCTCAGAAAAACAATTCTTGTCATGAAAACAAGGCCAAAATTTCAAGAAAATTCTGAATGAAAAATTCATAAGGCGAAAGCATTCACCTTCTATTGCAATAGGGAACACCACGCACAATCTTAGCAATACTTGATGGCGCTTACCTGGATTCAAATTTCATCTCTTCAATTGAGAAAGTTCAAATGCGATACTGAACAGGTGATGGTGCACATTTCTTGCTGTGCTACGGAGATATCGTCAGATCTACAAGAAATGGGGAAAGAAAAGAAGAGACAAACGTCACATCGGAATATTGCACCATTCAACAGATATTTACATGCTAACCAATGGATCAACTGATGATTGATGCATCCAGACTGATGCGACTTTTGTCTCTTCTTTTCTTTCCCCGGTTTCTAGACTCTAGTATATTAACTTTAGTCATAATAATTAATACAGTAGGGGTTGGGTACATTTTGATCTCATTAATGATCCCTAGTCTGAGGATAGGTGCGCAGAAAATGTGGTCAGAGGACGTATTCTGGATGGATAGGGAAAGGCTGGCTAAACTTCATTCGTTTGAATGACTTCAAAGCTGGCGACAACCCAGACGGCTGACTAATAAGAGATGGGCACAGGGCAGCATTTTGTTCTCAGGAGAACGATCCTTGGCTATGTAATACAGGCTAGAAAAACAGGGCTGTCTCTAGTCATTAAGTAGAGGAAGAGGAGAAAGGTATCATTAGAATAATAACAACTCTGAACAGGTAGAAGTGCCAAGTGTAGCTTTCCTTCAGTCAACTAAGAGGGGTGCGGAGGTAAGCAAAATGTACGGTAAAACATTCCAATTTTACCATCCAGCCTTCCATTTGGGTGTGAATTGGACACAATACGAGAAGTTATTTGGCATAAACACATTCTTACGTAGGCGTTGAGAGCAATAGTACTGGATTTGATGACTTAACAGAGCCTCCATCACTTTAATGACTTCTTTGAGGTTCAACATATAGATATCAACATACTAATGAAAAAAATTGATTAGTATACTTACTTATTAGTCGGGCTGAAAAAGAAGAAATAAATTCACATGAATTCACAATTATTCACATTTGATTCACGTGGGAATATGCGGTACGTCGAGAGTTTGAGGTTAGGTTAGGCCGATTATTTACATACACATACATATTTAAAGTCAGAGATTACAGAAAAAGTTTAAGCGTTTCCGCTTCCGCTACAGTGATTTCCGCTAGATACTCACAGAGCGGGAAAAATTAGAAGCCAAATGCGCCCAATTTTTTAATTAATGTTCTAGAAGTGTACATTAAAGTAAATATCAGACTTAACACATTTCTGCGACTGCAGCTTTTTAGTTGTGCATGAGACAGAGTTAAGAAATTTCGTGAAAGATTTTAAGAAGAAATTTCATGAGGAAATTTCAAGAAATCTCATGAGGAAATTTCAAGAAATTTCATGGGGAAATTTCAAGGAATCTCATGAGGAAATTTCAAGAAATCTCATGAGGAAATTTCAAGAAATCTCATGGGGAAATTTCAAGAAATTTCATGGGGAAAAAAGAAATTTCATGGGGAATAAAGAAATTTCACGAAATTTCATTCAATGAAATTTCTTTTAGCAACTCTGGCATGGGATCAACTTTAAAAATTTTACCCTCATAACAGGATGTAACCCGGGACCTGACCTGACTAATCATGAATCGAATGCACTACCTATCGAGCCAACAGGGCTTCGGTCTTCTGCTAGAAGTACCTAGGGCAAATTTGTGCTCGATGGACAGAATTATGTTCGATTATTTTTATTGTTCAATATGCGTGAGAGCAAAATGGCTCAATATTTTATTGGACTTAAAAAAATTGATGTGGGCAAAAAATAACATTTATCATGAATATCTTAAAAATGATATACTTTCAAAATTACCTTTATTATACATGAATATTTTAAAAAAAAAAATTTATGTAAATTTTAATGTTTTGTCGCCTGTGTTTGTCTTTTTCTAAAATTTATGATAACCTGATAAAAAATGATGATAACCTGCATCATTTTTTTAAAAAATGTAAAAAAATACCTATTTTAATCAAGATAGATTGTTGAAAACTCTGGTTTTTTCATTCAACACAACAAGTTTTTTGTACCTAGGAGTTTTCTTGGTTTAAGGAGGCAGCACTATAAATTCAAGAATTTTTTTTCAAGGTCCGCTCAGAGTAGGTATCCCTATAGTATCAGAGCCACAAAATTAGAGTTATTAACAAAAAAACATAATTTAATACACTTATTTTTTTAAATATGGTGTTCAAAGTTGCGAACTTAATATTTTCATACTTAAGACCTTCAATAAAAGAGGTTTTACGAAAAGTACCTATGCAACTTGTATCTCAATTTTTGTAAATTTGGTTTCGCTTTTTTTTTTTTTTTTTTTTTAATATCTACCTTTTTTCATGTTAAAACATTTCCTGGCATAGAAACTAGCCACGAAGACTAGGTTTTTTTATGTATGAAATCAACCTCATAATTAGCACAAAAGGGTTGGGAACATTTGTATAACTTTAAAAAAAAAAAACAAGCCATGGGGCGCCAAATACAGCGCAAGCCATGTTTAGGCACTTTCACATCATTAAACTTCGGTTTATTTCTAGGAAAATAAGAAGACCTGGTGTATGTTGAATTTTAGAGGTGAAATTTTATTGTGAAAGGTTTGAGTGAACTCTAAAACTAACTAAGGAACACAATTCATCTTCATTACACATGTTTTATATTATGCAGGTAGGTATGTCATAACAACTGTGCAGCCTTAGTCTACGCTTCTTTAAACAGACTTTGTTAGGACTTAGGAGATGCAATGGCAGGAGATGTGCAGATGACAAGCTGCAACTATTGACTTGATGCTTACATCAATGGAGGAATCAAGCCATTAAAAATATTTTACATGGTTTTACAGTGCTATATTCAGATACCCACAGTGCTATAACTTTGACAAATGAACATTCAAAGATACTTTAGCTGCTTATTTATAGAGCAAATTTTACTTTTCACTGAATATTGGCATCTGTGATCTGCTTATGAGCGATTAATTCATTTAAGATGTTTGAATTTGACTTCTTAGTGATTCAATTTCTGCCTTTTAGATACTTGACTATCATCTTCATTATGAAGAGACTCAATTTTAGATGAAGCACAGCTAGTGTTTGCATTTTTATTAGCTGTTTTAGTCGAATGTTCTGCTGTTTTCTTGTCTTCTAACAACTGATACAATGCATCAAAAATTTTACATTGAGGAATTATGTTTAAAAGCTTTTTTGATTCTAAATCCTCACCTGATAAAGGTAAATCTGACAAAATGCTTTCATCGAATTTCACAGTCTCTACAGTCTTACGGGATATCTGATAACCCTCTAGTTTATATTCATTAATTTCAATATCTTTCTTCTTTAATTGGTCAGATAAGTACTTTTTGTGAGCTTGTAAATTTTGGACTGTCAGTAATAAAGGGACTGTGATATCATCATATAAAGCATGCGGTTCCATGAGAGGCATACTTAGATTAAGAGAGAATATGATACCCTGAAAATTGCAAGTGAACTGCAATGATACTTTCATACAATCCTCAGATTTAACAACTTTTACTTCAGATTTGTTAATGTCCAAGATATTTTTGATATACTTCACTAAACTTGCTTCAGGTGCCTCAACCAAAGGGTTCTGCTCTTGGAAGAGTGTAGTGACATCCTTCAAAGAAAACGAATCGCTCCAAAATTGAACCAGATCAGAGAGCTTGAGGATGACTTGATCATTCTTAAAGATACAACGTAGGAGATAGTCCTTATCACCTTGTTTCAACACTTGCCAACTCATTGTTTCCAAGAGTAAAATATACTAATTTCCTTAAGTCCTCACGATTTTAAGTTCTAATTCTAACTTGGAATAGTATTGACTCGGATTTCCGGATGAGCAGACTTGAAGAAGAGATCAAGATGAAACAATGAGTTGCGCTGGCACTAAACACACTGACACCAGATCCTAAAAATTTGTTGATTTCACACGGATCACCAATTTATGGGAGTTAAAGTTTAATGATAACTTTTACTTCGTGAAGAGTTGAGATTACCGATTTTGTTATCTTAACACATGATAAGTTTTAGGTTATTTGCTCTGTTATGTTGGATTAAGCACTTTGAGAAGGAAAGAGGCGTTGAAAAGTTGCCACGAGCGCACCGGTAATCGACCGATGACCATTGACTATTCGGATGCTATCTCGTAGATTAGCGCGGGAATTTCGAAAAAAACAGTAGGATTGTAATTTTTAAAGTCGGAAATTAAAAAAATTTAAGTTGAGTGAAACATTAATTTTTTTTTTTTGTTGAAAAACATTAGTTGAACAGAATGCCACTAATTTATTAAAGAGCTGATGACCTAACCTAACCTAACCTAACCTAACCTAACCTAACCTAACCTAACCTAACCTAACCTAACCTAACCTAACCTAACCTAACCTAACCTAACCTAACCTAACCTAACCTAACCTAACCTAACCTAACCTAACCTAACCTAACCTAACCTAACCTAACCTAACCTAACCTAACCTAACCTAACCTAACCTAACCTAACCTAACCTAACCTAACCTAACCTAACCTAACCTAACCTAACCTAACCTAACCTAACCTAACCTAACCTAACCTAACCTAACCTAACCTAACCTAACCTAACCTAACCTAACCTAACCTAACCTAACCTAACCTAACCTAACCTAACCTAACCTAACCTAACCTAACCTAACCTAACCTAACCTAACCTAACCTAACCTAACCTAACCTAACCTAACCTAACCTAACCTAACCTAACCTAACCTAACCTAACCTAACCTAACCTAACCTAACCTAACCTAACCTAACCTAACCTAACCTAACCTAACCTAACCTAACCTAACCTAACCTAACCTAACCTAACCTAACCTAACCTAACCTAACCTAACCTAACCTAACCTAACCTAACCTAACCTAACCTAACCTAACCTAACCTAACCTAACCTAACCTAACCGAACCTAACCGCTAAGTCAGTAAAAGTCGCTGATTTAGCTAACTATTTTCAATATTAAATTAATTGTTGTAAAAATGAGTTTTGACCTAACCGCTAAGTCAGTAAAAGTCGCTGATTGAGCTAACTATTTTCAATATTAAATTAATTGTTGTAAAAATGAGTTTTGTGACTTATTTGGACGAAGAATCATGATTGGGGGATTTTACAGATTGGAAAAAAAAAAAAAAAAAAAAATTTCCAGTGACGGGAACCGAACTCGGCATCCTCACTATTGTAGACGAGTGCTCTACCGATTGAACCATCCGAGCGGTTGCATTAAAACTGGAAATAAGTAGTATATAAGTGTAGCGTTATTGTTGTTGAAAAGAAGATGCATCGTTGACCGGTGACCGACGCAGATGGTTGCTGGGGATTCTGCAACTTTTCATGCCTCTTTCCTTCTCAAGAGTAAACATCGTTATGATGATTTCGTTGTTTACATTGGAGTAAGCAAAGATTACACTGGTGGCCAATGAACAACAACAACAAAAATCCTTCCATTCCAATCGTGTTTACATTTGTTCGCTAGCCGCTAAATTATCAATTCTGATTGATTATCTGCATGAATTTAGTCTTAATTTAGTCTACTTATTTTAATTCAATTAGTTACATCGTGAAAAAGTTCATCTACCGTGAATTAATTAACCGCTGAATCAGTGTAGGGTAGTTTCATCTGCATCTTTAGAGCTCCGAGGCGATCATCAGATCATAATCTCACCATTGGAATTCTTTCAGTCAAGTAGGTAGGCATTACCCATTTTCTTTGCTGGTAAATCTTGGGAAATACGAACACGAATGCTACCATTTAATTTCTTTTCGAATACTCGTGCTAAAGGTTGCAGGAGGTCATTTGTCCAGGGTCCAGATATAGCCGAACTTGTGATCAATATTTCGCATTCATTTTCTCCAATCAAAAGATGCAACAAAGCTTGTATCAATACATCTTTGAACGCAAGCAGAACTGCTGCCGTTAGGAAACTAAAGTGCCCTTGGATTATATCATTGAAGTTGCCAATTATCAGCCGATTTCAGGTTTGAGGTCACCAACGAAAGCAAAGAAGGAACAGAGAATGCGACAAGATTGTCAAATTGATAAAGTTAACCTATTCGTTTTTTATTTTTTCTTGCTGTCAATCTTGCTGTAGAATTTCACTCTAAAAGTGAAACATGTTTGGAGGTCAGAAACCTATTTTCTTTGATATGACTTATGTAGTAAGTGGGTAAGGAGAACGGCACTTATCGAGAGATGTTTTTGAAAATTACAAGCGTACCAATTCCCATAATTTTTGTGTAGTCAGAAGCAGCGTGCGGTCAAAATGGTTAACAGTTGCCAGATCATGATGGTCGAAAAATTTGATGGTTGATCGTTGCCATCTAACAAAAATGCTTTAGCACTTTACTTTGTCTGCTGTCATTTCATTGAAAGCCTTAAATTTATCCTACTATTGACAGCTGCTGTATATGTCAAGAGCTGTAGACCTTAACCTGAATGGTTGTATTTTCATGAGTTGTCTTGATTTTGTTTCCAATTATTCTGACAAGCAATAGTCGTATCTAAGTAATCATAAAACTATGAAAATCACATACTGCTCATGCTTACAGACGTTGCAAGTAACGTATTTTATTCTTGTGCCCTTGTATATTTCAATCCATTTATAACACTTTAAAAACTCTTTATTTTCAGAGAGTTTAACATCAATAATGTCTGGGCCACCGCATTCTTTTCAATCAAGCTTTGTCAATTCTCAGCAGAACCAGATGCGCAATCAATTCGTCGGAGGCTCAGGACCACAAATGCCTGGCTTAATGGCCTCTCCTCAACAACAAAGTAAGTTATTAGTGCGCTAACAAAAACCTCCCTAGTAAGAAGTCTGAATTTGCAAAGTATTTAGTCCAGCTTGCAATCTAGCTTGGCAGAAACCTTCATGGCCTGGAAAAAACATTGGGAGAAATATAGCCCTTTAATTAATTGATATGTATTGTTACATCTGCAAATGAAAGAGGATATGCTAGCATCTTCATTAAAAAAAAAGCAATTTCAAAGAAATATAGCCCAGAGGAAAATTTTTAACATTAATTTTATTATTATCGGGTAGGGAAGTGCGATAATTCCAAATCATCAAAATTTTGGTCTCATGAAGCATTGTAAGCCTCATGACCGGATTTAAACATAGACCATGGCCTCGGATGGCAAAAAAATGTGTAAAGATATGGCCCCACTACATATGCTGAGCTGTCGGAAAAGTGGCAAAAAAAGCTCAAATAATGCGATATTTTCTCAGAAAATTGTAAAAACGGACTTCTAAGACTTTTTTTCAAAGAAATTTAACTTAAACTTAACTTCAAACTTACATTAATTTGATACCATGATGCATCTTTTCCCTCTAGAAAATTTTTTTAAAGTCTGAAAGTCTGATTTTTTTAACTCTCCCCCCCCCCCCCCCCCCCCCCCCCCCNCCCCACCTACTCCGGCAACTGCAAGTTGTGTTGGGCAGTTGAACACTTATACCACCTATACTCAACAGCTGCATCTCCGACCCATATTGTTGTGCACATTTTGATGATGAAATTCACGCTAAAAATTAATATTCAGAAATTAAATCCAAGTATAATAAGAGAAGAACAAAAATTCAGTAAAGAGTGAAAAAACTTTTCTCAACTTGTTAAAAAATCTTTTTTTGTTTTCTAGTGATGGCAAATCAACAAAATTTTAATGTTGGAATGCAAGCCGTCAACAATCAGCAATTACAAATGCAACTGCAACAGCAGCAGCAACAGCAACAACAACAGCAACAGCTCCAGCAGCAGTTACAGCAACAACAACAGCAACAGCAGCAGGTGCATCCACAGCAAGTTCAACAGCAGCAAGCACAACAACAAGTAAATTTTCCCATTTTTCTGGTCATTGCCCCAATGGCGACAGTGTGACAGTCAATAAATGAACTTTCAATCAGCAATTTTATGACCACTGAATGATTATTGATTTGGCCTGTTACCATGTGATGTTACATTATCTTAATCATTATCGCGTTAAACAAAAAGGAACCAAGCCACATCAGCTATTGCCAAATTTAATTGGCTACTTAATTTAATTTTTTTACATGAAAACAGTTGTGCAGATTTTCGTGCAAATTTCAGTGAATTTTCTCCATAGTACGAAGCAAATTCCTTAACATTTTCAAAGGGATCTGCACAAATATTTTCTTGTAAAAAATTAAATTGCACAGTTAAAATTGGCAGTAGCTGATGTGGCTTGGTTCCTTTCTGTTAAACGCGGTCCATATATCATTGCATCTCTAAAGTTTTGGTAAATATACCCTTCTACAACAAAACTCCATCAGTACTGCCATTTTTAGCAGTATTATGACAGTCGAGTAGCATGCATGTTTGATGACAATATGAAACATCATAGCTTGTACCTGTACTTGTGGTTTTTATCATGAAGAAGCACCCCGCATTGGAAGAAGTGGCTCAGATATTTTCCCTTTTTTCCACCAGATCAGATATTCAGTTGTTGAAAAAAGATGATTAAAGAGCTATTTTGGTAGAATCGCTTGCAGTCATTAAAATACTTCAAACTAATTACAGGTTTTTCTTTTTGATTAACTCTCTCAGTGGCTTTGACAGTTTACATTGTATCCTTTGTTTTTCAAGCAGGTAAGTGGAGTTGCCCCAACTCCTGGAACTGCAGCACCTCAGAATCAAAACAAAGAATTCAACACAGCATCTTTGTGTCGCTTTGGTCAAGAAACAGTTCAGGATATTGTGTCAAGGGCTCAGGAATTGTTTCAAAATTTAAAAGTCATTCAGGTAAGCTACTTTTCTTCAAGTTATCTAATTTTTACTAATTTAATAATTCATAATATCCTTATTCTACCCTCATCAAATAGTGATTTTATCAAAGCCTCAGAAATTATAAATCTCTGTTCTGTGCATAGGTGTCACTGATATTTACATGAGAAAGCTGTATAGGTGCTTTTACTTGAAAATTTATGATTTATGGCACGGTATTTAACTAAGAACTTTTTCAGAGATTCCTCGTTGACTTTTTCGGAGAACTCTAATGGAAATACGCTTATTAAAATTGTATTATTTTATAACATCAGATTACAAATAATATCCATGGTTAAAGTGTAAAACAATGTATCTCCATTACGGTGTTTCAAAATTTCTGCTCTTATTTTATTTTTTCATGAGACTCAAGCCATCTTTACAGTTTAAAATGTATAAAAAATATTCTGCCAACAGAGAAGAAAAATCAAAGAAGGTTTCAGAGATACCGATGTAGTTTCGCTCTTTGACCATAGATATGTGGCTATGCTAGGTTTTCAAATCAGTTGAACAGGTATTCTGTGTCTGTTGGGCTGGAGCAAAATATCAGAATGTAGGAAATTCAAGAGCACTTTTACTTGTCTCTAGTATACAATGACAAAAGTTACGAAGCTATTTCTACATATCTTCGGCAAGTAAAGTATATAGCAATTAGATCTTCCATCCTTCCCATCGTTCTCCTTTCAATACTGGTCAGTTTGTAATCCAACTTTGTAATTCTATTGATGGTACTGACTCAAATGTTATGCTACGTTATTTTGGTTTTTTGAGTTAGAAATACCAGATGAATGATTGTACTTCTACCAAAAAATTCTATTTTGTCATCAACTTAACCTATTATAATATTAATTCAACTGTTTCAGCCTCCAAATGGAACTGCTCAGTCTGTCAGTGCAAGTAATGAAAAAAGAATGAAAATTCAAGATCATTTACGGACAATAAAATTACTTTTCAAAAGATTGAGGCTCATATACGAAAAGTGTAATGAAAGCTGCCAAACTTCAGGAATGGAATATATGCATATTGAGGTATCAACATATTCTTCACTTACCATAATAGATAACTAGGCAGGGTTAGAAATGAAATGCTACAACCTGTTTCCTTCATCAAAATTTCACTTGGAATACAACATGAGTGGTTTTAAAATTAAACTAACTTTAGAAATTAGTATTTTCGGTTTTTATGCATTCAAACTTCATCTCTGTCAAGTAACCACAGTCTATGTGAGTCAAATGGTGGTGAAATAATTTCAGCATAATTTATATTTGATGAATTTTCCTCACTAAGTTGGTAAGTTTCACTCATCAAAAGAAGGAGGTATATCGTAAAACCAAAATCTAGGTAATTTTGGACTGCTTACATGATTTTTCTCAATTTGCCTTTTAAATAAAGATGATGTTGGTTTTATTGCAAAGGATAAGTTAAAAGTACCAAGGTTGGTCATTAACAACCGACACTAATTTCTCGCCCATCCGTTTTTTTTTTTTTGTTTTTTTTGACACCAGATTTCTCTTTTCACAACAAAATTTCACATAGAACATAATTTGCACAACGAAAATTACCGGATGTAACTTTTACCAAAAGTATTAACGTTTTTTGGTGTGCGCATTCAAATCAGCCGCTTCTAAAAAAAAAACTATAGCCTATGTATGCTAAATCACACATTAAACTTTACCATGACAGTCCTTGCATTGTGTAAATATGGCAACCTCAGCAGCGGCACTTCAGCTCAGTTATTAAGCATTGTTCACTCTTTGAACAACTTAGGGTGCGAGAAAAACACTGCATATTGAAAAACCTGCCCAAACCATTGTAGTATTCGATTTAAATCATATAAACTCTGGATATTCATATGAGCAGGAAATCTAAATTTTTCGTAATCATTGCTAATCTAAAGCATTAATATCTTAATAAGGAGTTAATTTCAGTAATTTTTGTCTCGTTAATCATGTTCTATGTGAAAGTTTGAAGAGGAAGCATAATCAGGAGACATAATTTCGTACGTCATCTAGTGGTCCATTTTCCTAAGTTAGTCAACTCCTGAGCAATTGAGTTGAGGTATCAAAAAGTCAAGCTTCTTGTGTTCAATTTGTCATTTTATGCCGGCAACTGCTGAATGTATAAGTTTTTACAGTTTATTCATCAAGAAATTAATTTTTTCAGAGTTTAATACCAATGAAAGAAGAGTGGGATAACAAATGTGAAGAAAGGAAAACATCAGAACAATATCGATTGGCGTGTGAGGAAAGTAAAGAAGTAATGGAGGCAAGTTGAACAATTGTTTTTTTATTGGACACTCAAATTGTAACTTTGAAATTTTGTGATCAAGTCGCATTTTACTTGTTGCAATCAGTGGCGTGGCGTTCTTTGCGATATATCAATTGATCTACCATTTAAATGATTAGAAAAGGATCGATAAACAGGGTGTTTGCAGCGAACACCTTAATAATCCATTCTTTGCCACAGCGTCAAATGGGGATTTATGGAAAATCGATTATTCATGCTTCGCCACTGGCTGCAAAACCTCGTGTGGTTTCTATGACGTTGTGGCCGATCTGGGAGCTGATAACTTTAAAAATATGCTGCTTCAGTACTGCTGGGCCCCCAATCAACTCAGCAGCATGCAGTGTGTTCGGGAATGCCATGCTCCTCAACCAATGAAAATGGAGATGTTGCATGTGTGAGGAATTTGTGATTTGACTGTTGATTCTGATGTAAAAGTTCGCGAGAAACACGATGTGGCTACTGGTTCTCTCTGAAATTAACTCTCAAGCTCAAAAAAAGCTCTCAAGTTGAGGCCAAAATGGAGGGGATATCCCGTGCTATTCTGAGAGTCCACCTCTACATCAAAACAAACTCTCTATGCGCAAATAGGGAGCAAATACATTGACAGGGTTGCCGTGATTTCAGTTTAAGAGTCCCCAAATGAGGTGGCAGTCCTGTCAATGTATTTGCTCCCTATCTTCGCATGGAGAGTTTATCTCGATGTAGAGGTGGACTCTCAGGATAGCGTGGGATATCCCCTCCATTTTGTCCTCAACCTGAGAGCTTTTTTTGAGCTTGGGAGATGATTCAAGAGAAAACCGGTGGGACCATCGTGTTTCTCGCGAACTTTTACATAAGAATCAACAGTCAAATCGTAAATTCCTCACACATGCAACATCTCCTTTTCATCTAATGAATTCAAAGCCTTCTACTTTTTGAACCTTTAACCAATAAGGAGGATTTTTTGGTGTGACTTCGGAGTTGTTCGGTTGGTCAAGGGCAGACTGGCTCATCGAGAGGGTGCAAGACAGGAAAGCTAGAGGGTGTCATTGAGGAGAAGAGGGACCAGTCCATCATTCCTCTCTCCTCTAAAATATTTCCTCAATGTGCAGAGGAGCGTCAGAGCAAAAGGGTACTAGGACATGTCCTGCCCTTTTATGTTCGCTGGTTCAAGGAATACATAATTTCATCAAAAGGTGAAAGTTTAAAATGCTCAGTAAGTACAGCAAGGGGAAAAAATGCAGCAGTATTCGAGTTTTCTTTAATCTTTTGGTATTGATGCCGATTGCCGAAAGTAGTGTATTTATCTCATTTTTTGAAAATTTGACTTCATCTCCCCTTTTTCAAGTCTCTGTCTCATATTGCACTTACTTATTTAACATGCATACCATTTTCTGATTATTTGTCACACTGCTTTTATTTTAGAAAGGAGGAGTATAACAGAGCATTGTTTCAATCTTATAAAATTAGTAATTTTTGAAAATTATTTTTCAGCAAGTCATGTTGAAGAACAGACATCTGAAAGAGCTAATAGACCACTTACGTCGGATTATCTGGGAAATCAATGCCATGTTAGCCATGCGAAGGTCTTAATCCTGTCTTATACAAATGCTGTTCAAAAAACTGTTGGACTTCATCGCTCCGCAAGTACCTGTTGATCTTTTTGTGTTTTTCTTACATAAGAAAGAATTTCACTTTTGAACTGATTGAACTAGAAGCTTTGATGAGCTTCTGGTCGTAGTTCGGTGAAACTAGAAGAACATGTATTTCAATAGAAAGAATTCAAATAAAAGAAATTATCTCCATTGTGGCCTGAGCTCTATGATCCGTAAGAATACGTGCATGATAAGGCCCTTGTCACAACAGAGATAGTGCCTTTTGATTTAAATACTTCCAATCGTTTTTAAGTAGTTGTGCTTTTATTTTATGTCTTTGAAAGAAAAGGAATGAAGGTAAATTTTACAACAAATATCATAAAATTGTACCATTATCATTTTCAGACTTTTTAAAGAAAATCATGTATATCATGCACTCAATGCAGTCAATTTTTTTCCATCGTAAACAATTGTTGCAAAAAGTTTGCGACTTCTGGAACTAAAATATCTGTTTTTCGAGTTTTCTTGATACATATTTGATCAAAGTACCCACCCAAATCTTATTCACTATGTTTGTGAGAAATATTTAAGTTTTGTGGAAATAATTTAGTTAGGCATTATATGTGCCAACCCACCTGATGCTCAACCCGCTAGTTGATAAAATGGGAATTAATCAGAGACAAGAGACCCTCCTTTGGCCTCTTGGTGACAGGTAAAAGCTTTTACTTTCGGAGATTCAAAAATTCCTTATGGAAAATTATAAGGGAGCAACAGTCAAACACTCTTTTATAGCTGTTGACCTAACTACATGGTGGATGATGAGCTTCGAATGACGTCATGAGCAATACAAGTTTCCCAAACTTCAGCTTGTTCGCAAAACGAAACTGCTAACTTGTTGTTAAACATCAACCATGTAGGTAAGTCAACAGTTTAATGTTGAAGTCCCAAAAGTAAAAGCTTCCACCATAGCCAAGATCCAAGTGGAGGGTCTCTTGTCTCTGAAATTAACACCTGTGAATTGGATTCAACTTCTTGGACCCCTCCATTAGTATTTGGTCTTTACAATACCATTATATTTTCCAAATTTCATGTTTCAAAATTCCTGAGGAAAATCACAAGCAAAAGAATCATTTGTGCGCATTTCTCAGTTTGCATTTCATGGTGAATCTACATCAGATTTGTACCCTTTCTGAAATGAAGTTGTAATTTTATAATATGACCAGCAATACATTTTGAAAATCATCTCTCTTTAAAAGAAAGTGCATATTTTCTACCATTTTTTGCTGTGATGAAAGAAACTTTACAGTAAAAGAATACCATTTCCTGAGTGTATAATATCTGTAATTATTGAATTCATAAAAGGAGTATGAAAAAATTATCATATTTTAATGTTCGCTCATTACATAACTTACATCACATTTACCAGAAGGGAACCAAAGAGATCACAGTTTTGTAAAAATCATGCGTCTTCATCTTTATTTAATGAATTTCCTGGAATGGCAAATATTTTTTGTTCCTCTACCAAAAACTTAAAGATTCCAAAAGAACACAATCGTGTAAATTTTATCACTGTACATATATTCAGTATCTTTTAAAGCTAAGAAAAATTTACACGGTTTTAAAAACGTTTAAATCCTTTGGTTCCCTTTTGTGAAATGGAATCCACTTTAATTTGGCAGTAAATATCCACATACTAATTTCAACATATTTGATAAGTTCTTTCCTATTTTGATCAGAGTACAAGACGTTTGCTGTTACCTCATCTCCTTTTGTTTGTTGATTTTTTTTTTCTTCAAAAAAATGATAAGATTAGTAAATTATTTTCAATTGATAATGTTCTGATGTTATTGGTGCAAGGACTTAAACCATGATTAAAATAAATTTATATTAAATCCATCATCCGAGACTCTAGTATTTTTCTGATCTTTAAACATGAAGTAACGTTCAATACCAATAATGTAGCCAAAATGTAATCACTGCCTTTATTGCTTTTCAGCCATATGATTCTACTTATGCAGCTAATTTGGGTCTGTTTCTGAAAACTTTCTCTGACTGTGAGGTTAGAAAGTTAAAAATTCAATTGTGTCTCCTAAGAGTCTTGCGACATAAGAATAAATGGCTGTAATAAAACTTGATTAGGTTTAGGGGGGGTTTAGCATCTTGCTTTCCAAGAGTACGTTGGTGTTTCCTTAAAGAGGAAACAAACAATGGCACTGAAAAATGTTCACAACACTTCACTTTGTGAAGATCTGCTACCATCCAAACCATTTTTCAAAGTTTAAAAAAGTGTTTCTGAAGTATCACCTAAAAGCAGTTCCAGTTAATAGGCACAATTTGAAATCAGTGTTCCATGGGGATCTTAAGGACCAAGTTAGAGAAGAAGACAGGGCTGGCATCTACAGTTTGAAATGTAAAGACTGTGACAAGCAATACATTGGGCAGACAAGAAGGAAGATGAAAGTAAGAATAAAAGAACATCAAAGATGTATTAAGAACAGAGAAATTGACAAGTCAGCAGTAGCTTTGCATAATCTTGAGACAGGACATCGGTTCGAAGAGGAAGGGAAACTGTTAATTGGATGCAACGATAGAAGGAAGCTGAACATCTTGGAAGCTATGGAAATTCACAAAAAGAGAGACAAGTTGGTAAATTTAGATTTGGAATGCCTGGAAAACTGTTTGCTCAAAGTGATTGGCAGCACTGATAGATTCCACACCAAGCAGGATGTAAACAACAACAGGCAGTCGGAATTTAGCCTTGAAGAAGGGACCGAGGTGTCCCGAAACGCGTCGGTTTTTTAATTTTATTTTGTGAGTTTGAGTTTTTTAATTTTTTTTTTTTTAATTTTCCGATTCTTCTCTGTTTTCTCATTCCCTTCTTTATTCATAATTGTTTTATTGTGCTTTTCGTATCGTTTTAAAATCAGAAGTGCACCAAAAGACATGACTGAATGCACCTGAAGTGTCCAAAAAATAATCAAATCAGGAAAATGTCTATCTTTTATGTACAATGCATCTAATTTTTAAGGAATAGTTCCAAAAGCTGCGATCCTCAACTCAAACAAGTGCCCCTTTAAATGTTACTTGTAGACTTAATTGAGCTTTTTGAGTTACTTTTAATTCTGGAAAAGTCGAGAGGGCACTTAATTCACAAATATTTTTCTCCTTTTGTTCAAGGTCACCGATGAGGAACTCGAAGAAATTGGTGAAGGGTACGTTGTGCGCTTGATGTCGATGAACAACTCCATGGCAAGAATTGTCCTGTACTGCAACTTGACAGATGAGGATATCCAAGCTGCCATAAAAAAAATTCGTTTTATTATTGGTGAATTCAAAAGAAACATGACGACGTAGGGGCCAACTGATATAACCCCACGCTAAAAAAAAAAAAAAAAAAGTGCATGGTATGTACCCAATTGCTCTTTGCTGGAATGCCCGGCCCAGGCCTCAGACAAACGGCTTTTAAGCATCCGTCGCTCGGCCACTCACCCAATTTAGGACTGTATCTTCTTGTCAGGCAAGCTCAATGCAATAAAGAAGTGCTCTTCTAGGGGTAGCTGATTTACTCATTAATTATGAGTACCATATAAAATTTGGAATTCGCTCATTGGAGAGAAGACCGATTGGTTTGTAGTTTAGTATTTTGTATAATGTTAGTCTACACTGGGAGGTATAATAAATGCTTTTGAAATGCACCTCTGCTGTTATTCTTCTTTTTGAAAACCTAAACAAACAACATCCAAAAAAAGATTTGAATTCACCTTCCCATCAAATTTTTAGTGTGATCATGAAACTCTGAAATTAGAATGAACTGCAATTGGAAAATGTAATATGTAAAAGTAAGGTACCTGTAATTTTCGACTTTTAAAATTAATAACCAAGTTCCTAAGGGAGCTTTCATAAATTATTCAATGCTCTAGGGGCATGCGCCTTTCTTACACTGCGTTTCAAGGGGGAGCGATGTCACTGCTAACATTATGTAACCCTCTTTATTGGTAAAAAACACACAAAATCTAAAATGTATCATCTTTATTTCTTTGACGTTACATGTCACATTTTCATTAAAAATACTTAAAATTTCATCTAGCTGTATATTCAACAATTCCCAATAATTTTTGAAATCTTAAAGAAAAATTCCTAAATTATACATTAAGTAATTCATAAACGCTCCTTAACTGTATCACATATCAGCTTGGTGGCTGACAAAAACAGATGGATGGTGTGAGTCCGCAACCACATATTTCGGGAAAAGCGATTTTTCACAAGAACGAAAAAACTATCTCCATTCCTTATCTTTGAAGGTAAAGGGGAAATTATTCTTGAAGATAGCAAAGATGAGATACTTTAAAGACTCTATCATCATTTTGATTAATATTTCCTAGGAGCGGCGATTTTGAAAAACCGCAATGGAGATACGCAGTATTGCACTTCAGCCATCGAAATGTTCCGCAAAAACTATTTTAAATTGAGCCTTCTTAACCATCTTCTACATCCATGAGGGATGATCAGGGAGTTCCATTTTCTAAAATCTATGGCAACCTTGCTTAAATGCATATAGGTTAATGAAAGAAAAAGTTGAAACTCGTGATTTTTAAGAAAAAAAGTAACTTTACTGCCCAACAACATACAGATAAAATTTATCTCTATACAATAATTTTACAAATTCAAAGACTAAACATTTTCAAAAAATGAATACATGACTTGAATAAATTTTATCTAGTGGAAAAATGGAACATGAAAGCAGGGTAATTCAAAACGTGTTCAGAATGTGTTGATTATTCAGAGAATCAAGGAGTAAAATTTACATAATTTACACAATTTACAAATACAGTTTGGATACTTCTAAACCCTAAACCTACTCAAACAGACTGAGAAAAAAAATATGTAGGGTAGGGGGAGAGGAAGAAGGAAAGGAAGTAGAGAAACAGCACAAAAAAAACTAAAATTTGAGGGAATTTTCAGTTGAAAAAAAAAAAATGATGTATCATGCAAAGGCTCCGTAATCATTAAGTTTATAAGGCAGGCAACCAATACAGTAAGGATTCAAGTCCAAAACTATTTTAAAGGATTCATTTTCCAAATCGGAAACTGATTTTGAGCTACATTTAAAGGCATTCTTGTGACTTTTAAGAATCCTTGAAGTCTGTAGCCACGCTCAAATTGAAGAGATCATAGCTAAAGAAGGTGAATCAGACCCTGAAGAGGTATGAATTGAACGTATGATTCGTTATCTTCGTGAAATTTTGAAGAGGTAAAATGTTCCATTTGGCTTTAATAATTAACGATCACACAACGAGAAGTCAGGAAATCAACTCTTAAAGATGGAATAAAAATGGTATGAGAGTTTACGATTACAATTGGTTAGATGGTCAGACAATTTTTTCTCCTTAAAAATAACACAGGTATGGGAGACAAATAAACTATAGATAGATACAAAGCACTGTGTGGAAAAATCATAATATGCTCAAAAATTATAGAAGATTTTTCTAAATATAATTAGAGCTTCCAAATGTTTACGGATATTGCTTTTTTTTCCCCCTCTGAGGTGGCAGTTCATAGTGAGAGGTAACCATGTATAAAATTACTTTAAAACAAAATACCTTAAAAATCAAAACTTAGTAACATTTAAAGGTGTATGCATACTGTAGATGCAAAGTCTATGCTGCATTTAAAATAATAAAAAAAAATCGACGGATATTCAATCCACCTTCACTCTCTGTATTCTGAGAAGGGTAAATTCTTGTTGAAAGAGCATACCTGCATTTTTTTTTTGAACGAAAACATAGACCTCAGATCAAATACCTAAAACAGTTTGTCTTGAATTCCTGTTGGCGCTTCAAAGGAACATTTCCAAATTGGAAAGAAAAAAAAAAACTAAAGCAGTTATCAAGAAGTAGAGTAAAAAGTTGAATGATCATAAGCCTCCACTATGGCTGCAGAACTGAATATGGTAAAGTATGACTAGACTTTTTTCTTTTTCTCGTCATTTCATTTTAAAGATGTTGACCTTGTTGTATTTATTTTCCAACCTCTACAAAAACCAACACAAGATCACAGTACTTGAAACTCCAAATTTTCTAAGTCGAGTCCATGATCTTTCCTGAGGTGATCTTGCAAAGTCACTAAAGAGTCAAAATTCGATTTACAGAAAGAGCAATGATATATAAAATTAGAGCTATCCGCAACTGTTTCCTCAATTAAACTTTCAGGCACTATTTCAATCTCCTCAATTTTTCCCAACTGTGGAGTATCTTGTACCTCTACTTTAGTTGTGGATCCATTGAAGTTACCCTCACCTTTATACTCCTCATAGTCATCGAAATCATCCATATCCGAGAGCTTTTTTAACTCTACAATCTCTGTATCACTGTCTATGTCATTGTCCGAGGAATCAGAATCCTCGCTTTCCGCATCAGTTTCAAAATCGGCCATCAATACTGGTTTGGAAACCCGTCCAGACTTCAATCTTTTTGCAGGCTTGGCATAGTCTGAGGACAAAGATCTTTTTGAAGGACTCATGGGGCCCGAGTTAAAATCTTTTGATACGGATGCAGTAGTGCAGTCATGATTTAAGACAGTTTTGAAGTCAAAGTGGTGAAACTGGCACTTAGGACAAAGGAACATCCCAGGACGATTTCGGTCTTTGTAATGATGTTTCGAGTGTTTAGTCAGCAAAGCATTTGAGTCGTATGAGCTATCGCAGAACTTACACTGGTATTTTTTGTGCGACTGACTCTCGTGCACCATGGCAGCGTGAATTCTTAGGTCATTGAATTTCATGAAGTATTTGTGACAGGCTGCACATTGCGGTGTTAACTTCTTGCTATTGGCCTCGTAATGTGGGCCTGTGGTGAATTCATTGCATTCCTCGATATGACGGTAATAGTATTTGTTATCATTGTAGCCCTTATTGCAGTGCGAGCAATGCAAAGGGAAACAATCATTGTGCTTTATTTGCAAGTGAAGACTGTACTGTTTCAGGCCAAGGAATCCTTTGTCGCAAATCTTGCATTTGAATTTTTTTATATTGAAATGAAGTGCTTCATGATTCTTTAATGAACATAGATAGCTAAACTTCTTAGGGCATGTCTGACAGTGATAAGGTCTTTCGTCGGTGCGGCGCATGAGATGGACTCTCAGAGATGGGACATCTTCATTACAATAAGGGCAATGTTTCACAGATGTTCTTGGAGCTCTCGGAGCGATATTGACTCTTTTTCTAGGTACAGGTGGCATAACTCTTTTTGAATTGCACCCTTCTACATGCTTGGTATAATACTTGAAGTCATTATAACCAAACTTGCACTTTGGACATTGGTACTTGTGGATTTCTGGGTGCATTTGTCGACGGTGTAAATGCAAATTATTCAGTTGTGCGAACGTACTTTTGCAGACCCTACACTCAAAGGGTCTCGATCCCCCGGTGTGGTGCTTGATTTCATGTTGATGTAAGTTTCCTAGAAGACGGTATCCTCGGCCACAATGTGTACATTTGTAAGGTCTCTCTCCAGTGTGGACTGTTATGTGCTTGCTTAGATGTTTGGGTGTTCTGAACGTTTTTCCACAAGTTTCGCAGATAACAGGTGGTATATCTATATGGATATTCCGCTGGTGAATTTGTAGATTTTTGACGCAAGAAAAATCTAGTCCACAGATTTCGCACGTACATGGTGTGCCAAAATGCACTTGCTTGCGATGATTGCGCATAATCGCTCTCGTGAGAAACGTCTTGTCACAAAGATCACAAGCAACCCGGCCACCATGGGTCTTTTTATGTTTCACATATTCTTGAAATTTATCAAAAGGAGAGTCACAAATTTGGCAAATAAACTTGGCTGCTTGTGTCAGCGGCGCTGTGGAACGTTTTTTTGGTGGTTCCACACATCTCACTTGATGAGACTCAAGAGTTACCTTTGAAAGGAATTCCTTTTGACAGTAAGTACATTTCAATGTTTCCCGGTCATGATGGTATATCTGGTGTAATATTTTGTGGTAGGAGGAGTTAAAATATTTTTTGCAAAGAGGGCATCTGAAAGCGCCAATGGACTCACCAGCAGTTGCAGCAATCTGGAAAAAAATAAAAATAAATATAGAGGGGCTCCTAAATATAAAAAAAGAATCTTGTTTATTCAAATTTAGAGACAAGTTTTGAATTCCTGGTTTAACCTTTATCAAATATTGAGGAGCACCTTGTATAACGCTGCTGTCCCGACAGAAATACTTTACTACAATTTAAAAAAAAGGTGATTCCTTCTAGACTCGGTGAAAGTGAAACTAAGGTCAATTCAGGTGACTTTTTTTTAGATTGACAGGTATTTTTTTCTTGGCAAATGTACAAAGGTTGAACATTTCTTGCATCACAGTAGCTCAGTGCCAAGAGGCAGCAGGACAGCAATGGACAGCTCAGACAGCAATGGAAAAAATTAACTGCCATAATTGCCCAATGGACCATTACACAAGGTTCAAATTTAATTAATCTAATGCGTCAAATTAATAAAATATTAAAGTCACTCACCAGTCAGAATTTTTTTTTTTCTATTGAAAACCCTATTTTAATATTTTTTGTTAATTTGACAGCTTTCAGTCTGGTTGATTTCACTATTTTTTCAAAATGATCACAATCTAATGCAAGTTCCTCCCCAAGAAAAACCAGAGTGTACTTGAAACAAATTGCGCACTACAACGCGACAGTGAAACTACCAGACCTTGTATCTCAATTTACAGCGTTGTAGACTTCCTGTCATACTTTATTTTTTAAATGGATAACAAATCAACGTCAATTCTTGAAAACTTCCGTGTTTTTTCCTCCATATCTGAAGAAAACTCTGTGAAGATTTCAAGGAATGATATTGATTTGTTCTACTTCAAAAAAATAAAATGGGAGCAGAGATTTTTAAACACCACAAACGAGATACATGGTCTGGTAGTTTCACCGTCGATCGGTTTTGGCAGGCTTCTCAATAAGTAGTGTTCCTTCTCCTCCCAGTGTTTTTCAAAGTGTGACAACAAGCAATAGCTGAGCCAAAGAGCCGATAGTGAGGTTGTCATATTTTCATGCTGCAAAGATTGTATTGGTAACGTTTAGTGTGCGATTTAACTTAAGTAGATTATTGTTTTTTCTATGAGCGGGAAGTTTGAACTAATTATTTTGAAACACGTTAATATCTTAGTTAGGAGTTACTTTCGATCACTCTTGTAGAACAAATTGTGATTAATGTGAAATTTTGATGAGGAGACATGCTTCACAATGTTTAAAGTTGCACCTTGTCTGGTGGTCCATTTCAATAAGATTTGGCTTTTAAAGTTGATAATATGACTGATATACGAGTGTGATTGGATACCTCATATCTTGAATGGTTTTTAAATAGGATTGAAACCAGCCAGACTTTGTAGATGACCCTTATATTTAGTTAAAAAACTCTAACTTAACATAAAGCTGCGATTTTCCTACATACCAGCCAACTGAACAGCTTTGTCTGATTTGGCCTATATTTCTAGGTTAATAAAAGTACTAGGTATATTGCAATAGCAGCTCACCAATTCTTCTTGAGAATGAGTTTTTCGATGAGTTAAAAGATGGTTGGTGGACTTCCTGAGTGTTATTTTGCAGACTGGACACGTCTTTACTTTATCCAAGTGAACTGCGAGTATGTGTCGAATACAATTTCGCACATTGTCGAACATTTTCCCGCAGTACGCACATGATCTGAGATTAAACTCTCCATTCCTGATTGTTTCCATTACTATGTTTGCGTCAGGCTCTGTTTCAAAGGGATTTCCATCGTCATCCTTGATTAAGGTTTTGCAAAAGACAGATCCATCTTTGTGCTGTCGGAAGTGCAACCGGTACCTTGTCCTGGAAAAACGAATTTGCAAATTTGTATCAATACTTCACATAAAATCAGTTGAGCAGTAATATCAACAATGGCACCACTCTCGCTATTTTTGCTACAAGTTCATGTTATGTACATTCAATTTTGAAACCGTTTATTCATCGTTTATTTCGCCTAAAGGAACATTCTGAATTCAGCCAAAAATTTGTAATACAGTCCAAGGAAGAACGTTCAGAAAAAAAAGAAACGGGTACACGTTATCTATTCCATTAACAATTATTTTATCGCCATTGTATATTTATTTTAGTTTAATGTTACTATTTGGATGATGCAAGTTCTTAAAAAAAAGATAATGATAATAAATTAGTAGGTGAATAAAATTGAGATTAGATTCTTCACTCAGTTCAAAATATTAAATTAGAACATAGATGGTCTCAGTTTGCACCATCACCAACAAAACTCTTTGCAGGATTGAAAGCAAAAATCACATACCTACGTTTTCCTCAAAACACAGTATTTTGTAGGAGCAAGTGCCTTTCTACAATAATTTTTTTTAATTTTCTTTAAAAAATCTTTGCAGAAGAAAGAAAATGAAGTTCTGACAAAAATTGATCAAAAATTGCTTACCTATTTGAAAATGATAGTCCACAATTATCACAGAGAACGTCTTGGGTGCAGCTTTGCTGATGATTCGTTTTATGGGTGTTTGAAATGAATTCTTGACAATAATCGCATAGGTAGGCATTCTCTTTGCGACAGTCAAAGTAGTGCCTGAGAAACGACTGACTCGAGTCAAATTCTGTCAGGCAATAGGGGCACGAAACACAGTATGTGGCAGACCTGCCTTCCAACAGTTTTCCTGAGCTTTCTGCACACATGGGATAGTGGATACCATACAGCACTCCATTGTTGAATGTTTCATTGCAAAGTGGACAGACATGAATGAAATCAGTGTTTTGACTGAGAGCTTTTGCTTTGTCTTTTTCCTTAAAGCGTTGGTTTCTATACCTAATAGAAAGAAAATATCTTGGTAAATAAAGCACAAAAAGGACACGCAAATAAAATCCCACATGCTTCTTGCAATAGCTAGCCCTGAGTGAGGTCATCTGAAAGGGATAATCGCTGAATTTTCCTGTACTGCTACAACTTGTATCAGACACATTTAACCCTTTCCATTTGCCTACACACTACACAGATACCATACAGACGGTGAAACTGCAGAACGCATGCCTCGTTTGCGGTGTTCAACAAATCTCTGCTCCCGTTTTACTTTATCAAAGGAGAGCAAACTGCTTAAACATTTCATAGATTGTTTTTCACACAGAGAAAAAAAATCAAGAAAGGGCAGAGAGCAGTTTTCCATTTAAAAAATAAAGTATGACAGGATGTCTGCAACGTCGCAAACCAAGAAGCTCGTTTCTGCCATTTCACAGTTGACATAGTATGTCTTCCATGTCTCGATTTCCTGAGGAGAAATGGAAAGTTCGAAAGAAGGTAGAAAATGGACCATGTTCAAGCAGATCACTATATGTATTAAGCGTAAACTTTTACGAAACATAGTTTACCCTGATTTTTACTTGCTCACATAATTTTCTCTGAGTTTTTACCCCAGGAGCATCATCGATAACTTATCATTCTGTGTCTGTTTAAAATTAAAATTTTAAGTAAAGCTTGCAACTGTACAATGTTTTTAATGAAGGGTGGCAATGCCATCCAGCCTGTTTTTTACTCATTGAAATAAGAGGAACTGATTCACTACCTGTAGGTAACCACTTGGACCATTTTCACTCTGGGCCAGTTATGCAAAATTTTGAAACTGGGACTTTGTTCAAAGCAAATTAGATTAAAATATAAAAGTAAATTGATAACCAAATCAAAACAACACCGTAACAACCAAAATTGAAGGAGATAAAGTTCAGGAGCAGTTATCCGACTTACTGAGTCTTGCTTGATAGCAACTTCACTTAAGGCTTTGTTAATTTTTTTATGAAGACTCTAGGGGCCAAATTTCGTTGAAAAAACGAGCATTCCTAAAAAACTTAGGATAAGTCGAACCTGCACTTAAGTCCAGTCTAATTGTAAGGCTTCTGATTGGCCAGCGATGCAGTTTCACCTCATCGACAGATTTTGTGTTTCAGTGCAGAAGTATCAAAAAAATTTGATGCCTGTCTCTATCAAGCTTGAAATTTAGCAACAAGAATTAACAAGCCTGATTCCTTTAGGAAGTTCTAAAACAGATTCTCTGGGTTTTACCACATTTCATACGAAGTATTTTCACCGAATTTGTGTGGACTTTATTTCATAAGATGCAAAGATCATCCAGAAAGTATTGGCACTGTATTTTTTCCTCCATTTCGAGGCTCTTAGAAAAATGTTTCCATTCCACTTTTTCATTCTACTTTCTATGATATACTAAGGTTGTTGATATTGTGTACTTGCATTTGTGCGTTTTTTTCACTTACATAGATCATAAAACGTATGTTTTTTACAGGAAGAGTTGCTCTTCATGGAAATCTTTATAAGAATCCTTTTGGTTCTAAGGGCGCCATAGTGCAAAGCTTCAAAAACTTCAAAAGCGATTTTCTCACAATGTGAAAACTCAACATCCGCTATTGTTACATATAAGTCCTCATAGGTCCTTTAAGTTTTATTCTTTAGTATGACTTAAGGACTGCGAGGTCAACTTTTAGGGTAAGGACAAGAAAAAACACTAAAATATGGCCCGAACTGTAGAAATGGTACTGGGTCCACACCATTTTGCAGGGAAAACAAAGCCAAGAAATTCCGAAAATGTTTCAATTACAGTCAAAAATGTTTTTTGCTCTAAAGAGTACCAGTGCAAGACTGAGGGGGAGAGAATATTCAGCTCAGGCAGCTTGCATTGGAATGTAAAGTTGAGGCCACGCCGAGCGATCTGTACCGGTTCGGGTCTTTTTAGACTTCATCAGTAGATTACACTCATCAGTGAACCCAACTTAGCATCCCAGACGGCATAAAAACGCCTTCACGAATATGACCAGAGGAATGACACACAAAATCTTTTTTACTCCAATTGAAAATTTTTTGGAATTTCTTGGCTTTGTTTTACTTGCAAAATGATGTACCCCCAGCACCATTTCTCCACCTTGTTTTGTAGGGCAAGTAAATATTCTATTCTACTGTACATGCCATCATTTCAGAACTAAACTCTTCGCAGCAGAATTCTTCAAATTTCTTTATTGTACTAGTAATTAATTGACTACAATCCCACCATAAATGCATGAAAAATACCTGATTCAAACAGTGCTTGGCAAATTATCACTAAAAAGACGATGATTGAAATGTGATATACATACCTCAGACTACAACCATGGGTGACGAATAGTGCATAGCTGATGAAGACATTCTTGCACGAGACACATTTGTAACTGTGCTCACAGAATTCTATCTCCGTTTTGCTTGCATATCTTTTGCCGCAAAGCCTGCATGGATACACCAGGGCGGGGCCCCGAACTGCTTGCAAGTCTTTTTCGAGTTTATGGATGATGAATTTGTCGTTCAGAGTTTCTACAGCATGATTGAAGGCCATTTCGTAGAAATGCGACATTTCATGATCAAGATATTCTAACCAATTTGAAAAGGGAGATTGGCAGATGGAGCAACTGAACTCACATGAACACTTAGAAGAGTCTGAATCCAGCGGAAACTTTTTCCAGCACTTTAAACATGACGAAAATGGATGGTCATGAACAATACACATGTGGTTGAGCAATTCATCAGGTGAGGTAAGGTATATGAGACAAGATGAGCATTGCACCATGTGTGTCTTTAACACATGCTCACGTAAATATTTTTTGTCTACCAATTCTTTGCAATGGATACAAGCAAAAAAACAGATTGCTTTCAAGCAATCTTCAGAGCGTTTCTCACCAGTAGACTTGGAATCTACATTTGTTTTTATTTTTTTTGGTGCATGTGCTTCCACTGTAACTGGAGGTTTGTCTTGTGTTCCAGAGGTCTCTTCCAAGATTTTTTTCCGTTGCTTCCGAAGTAATGATTTGATAATGGAGGATGCTTTATCTCTTGTTTCCTGTGAGAGTTTGGAGGTAGCAAGGGTGAAGTGATGAGGAAGAAGTTTTCCATTGACTTCGGTGAAAAACACTGAGTACGAGACTTCCAGAACTTTGGATTCGGAGCCATCTTCAGCTGCGGTTGCTTTTTCTGACGCTTGCACGAGGTTTTGAAGCTCTTTGGAGTTCGGGTCAAGATTCTCTGCAAATTTATTTTCACTGACCGTGCTGCTACCTTGAATGTGGTCTACTGATGCTGTCACAATTTTGATCGTGAACCATTTCTTGATCTAACAGAAGGAAAAAAATAAAAGACATAATGAATAACATGTACTTACATTTGACAAGCTGTAAATAAGCTGTTAGGGCGATACAATTATCGTCATTCGCATCTGTCATTTTTAGTGAGAATTTGTTTCTGTAGAAATTTCATGAAATACAAATACTGTATACCCCCGCAGATACCCGCACTTTTTCTCCCGATTTCTACGCTTAAAAATCAGGGTGTGAGTTATGCTTTATTAAAGGAATATAAACAAATTAATCATATTAAAGATTTTGAATGAAACAGGAGCAAATAATGCTTCATTTACTATTTGAAACTTTGCACTTGATCAATGTTATTATAATCTTGATCCATGTGACTCACAAGTCGATGTTTCGGTTTCCTGCGATAGGTATCATTTCCTGCCGAAAAAGTCAGAGAAGAAACATTTAAAAATGCCCCAATGTTCCCCCACAATTTCGGCTATCGCTTGAATTCTCCTCAACTGTCTTTCTGGAAAAATTCACCACCCTCGCAACAATTTATTTCAAGCTTGGATAAAACTATGCACGCTCTCTTCCCTTCCATATCTAATTGACACAGAAAAAGTTGATTAACTCACCAAAGGTGGAGGCTTCAGACTATCGATGGTATCTTCATTCACGATAATATTGCCAGCTGCATTTATCCCCTTTTGTTTTGGTATTTTTTCTGATTCGGCCGTTTCTGTAGAGGCAAGTTTTGGAACAATTGGTTTCACAGAAGATGTTTGGGAGACACAAGCATCGGTGCCAATAATGCCGTCTGTTCTTGTGGCGGTTTTTGTCTTTTTAGGTAGAGGTGTTGAACATACACTACCCAAAAAATCAATGATGGATTCATCCACCGGAGCGTCATCATGTCCTCTCTTTGAGGCGGAATCTTGAGAACTGAAAATAATTGAGATAATACTTCCATAAATATTCAAGATGCGGAAAGACTACAAGACTGTACTAACGGAAAAGGTAAGGAATTAAGCAAAGGGTTTCTACTTCTTTTCAATTTTCTAATTCCTCGTGTTTTCCCTGCAGTGTCTACAGAAAGTAACTCTCAACCAAAACCCATCCATCACATAGGTGTAACTTAGCCACTCTACAAAGACTGTGGTCGCTTAAATAATAGATACAAAATAATGGGCTCACCTGCTACTGTTAAAATGGATACTTTTTTCAAAAACAGGCTACTTCATGAAATTTTTTGACTGCTTCATGTAATCAGATAAATAGTAATTCTTTGATCAAATTGAGAAACCATGTAGGTACCTTAATTGTGGTGTTTCAAAATTTCCGCTTCTATTTTATTTTTTTGAGGAGAAACAAACCAAGTTGAAATCCAAACGAAATATTCTGCTAACAGAGTAGAAAAATCAAAGAAGTTTTCAAGAAAGTGCGTTGGCTAGTTTTCCAAAGAAAAAATAAAGTTCGACGGGAGGTCTGCGACATTGTAATAGGAAATACTTGGTTTCGCACTCAAACATTGGAATGCACTATCTAGAAATTGAATGAAATCACAGCTAGCTGACATATGAATTGAATCAGAGCAAATGACATTAAGTATCTTTTCTTCCATCTGTAATTTATTCATCACACAAGAGTGAGACTATGTAAGAGTGAGAGAGTTCATCAGGTAAGAGGAGTCCGATCAGGAATTTCCTGTTAACTGATTATTACTCACCTTTGTCCAGTTACAGGAGGAGACAGATTTGCATCAACTAATAAAGTTGCTGTCTTGTCACTGATAATTGGTCTTATTTCATGGGCGATCTTCACTTCTTCTCCGAGAATATAATTTTGCACTTGGACTGTAGATGGTTCCTTAACCTCCACAGACTTGGCTAAGTGTACTTTGTCATCAATTTTCATTCCAACATTGCTTGAGGGTGTAGGATGAATTTGCAACTGCTTTCCTGAGGTATCATTTTGAGTTGCAGAGGCGGGCAATTCATTCCCTTCGATTGACGTGGCCGAACATCCATTTTCATTGACATCAAAATCAAAATTTCTAGGAGATATCTTGTTTTCTACGGTGTTATCGAGAGGCTTCAACGACTTTTCAGAAGCATGAGTTTGCACTTCCACAATGGCTGATTTCTCATCTTGAATAGGCCTTATGGTTTTTTCATTTTCACTGATCTTGTTTTCAACATTTCTGGTTGTCTTATCTCCCTCCGTACACATGGGTGATTCCGTTCTTTCAAACTGACCATCAACATTATTTTGACTAGGATCTAGATCGACAACATCTTCAAAGATTTTGACTGAGCCTGAATTACTACTGTTCTTCCATCTGAAAAGAAAAAAATTAATACCTATTATTAGGTGAGCCAATAATGGAAAAATCCTGGAACTTCAAAAAACTTAAAAATGAGAGGATATATGTTTCGTAAAAAATTGAATGAAATGTATTTGTGAGATCTCTCACTAGAGAAAAAAATTACTCTAATTTAACCCTTTGGGAAAATGTTCTGACTAAAGGCAAATTTAGACAGATTTTGAACAGATTCAACTTGCATATGTCACAAGCAATTAGTCAAATATTCTTACACAGATTTAAATTCTGATTCTTTGCTTTCGTTAACTTTAGACAAAATAATTATTTGCTCAAGTAAAAAAGAAATTCACTGAATTTCCAAAATGAAATTCCCTCTCACTTCCTTGTGAAATATTCGTTAAATTCCATAACATTTGAGGATATGCGAGTTATCATTCTGAAAGATAAAAAATTGCCACTGCCAAACCAGAGCATGCAGCATTCGTTTTCGACTGACAAATTTATTGGACAATAAAATGGCGGACAAATAAGGTTTGAGCGAAAAAAAAGAGGAAAAATTGTCTTGAAACTGCTTGGAAAAAACATAATCTGTTTTGCTGAAGTATCTAATTCAACAATTAGGACATGATTTTGTGCATATCTTTTCCTGGACAGCAGGCTGATTATTGAAAGTTTTAAGTAGCTTGATAAGACATGCGATATATTTCATGGTTAGGGCTATGTCTTGTCTCGTCAGGGTGACATAGTGGAAATGAAGACCAGATTTTTACATGACTTCGAAGTATTAAGTCAGAAAATATTTTGTGATTTTTGACTCACATTTTATCAGATCGAGAGCCTGAAGAGATTGATTTTTCCTTGCTGATGATTGGGCCTCTACAGTACTTCAGATGTTTCCCTTTTGCTTGCAAAATAATCTTTGCGTCACAACGATCACAATGGAAAATATTGGTCTTGAAACAGAGATCAAAGTGATTGTTGAACTTTTCAATGGATTCATGAACAGTTGCACAGATAGCACACTCGATCAAGATTTTTTCCGAGTAGGTTCCCAAGGCACGCATGATATCAAAATTGCGGTCTACACACTCTTGATAGTGGACGAAATATGTTGACTTGGCTTTGAATCTCCGTTTACACTTGACACATTTGTAAACACAAAAACTGACTTGCAAACATTTGTCTTCGCCCGTGCAGAGGTGATTCTTTAAGACAGTCAAGTTTTTAAAGAGTCTGAAACATTTGATACAAAACACTTTGTCCTTCACTATTAGTGTTATGGTGTACAAAATATCACTTTTTTCCCAGAAATAGTCTAGAAGTAGCCGGCCATCCTCTTTTTCAATAAATTCTGACTTCAATTTTTTTAACTCTGCCGAGTTCTGCAAAGATGGCTCCAGTTTGAAAAGATAGTCTAAGAAGTCCGAGTCTATATGTCTCATCTCGTGTTTGACGTAGGCATTGTGGTCAAGGAAACCTTGCCCGCAAATCGAGCAACGGTGCCAATGTGAGCAATATTCAACCTGGTTAGGCGGGACAGGGTACAACTTCCCGCAGACTCTACACTTCTTCGGATCTAACGGATGTACAGTGCTTGTGTGATACTGGAGAGCAGCATACGAGTGTCGGGCGACTTTACATGGTACACACTGTACCAAATGACTATACTTCACATGATTTAATATTTCATTTCTTGGAAATTTTTTATCACACTTGACGCACTGCTGAAGAGATTGATTAGGGTCGAAGTTATCTGACAATTTTTTAAATATACTCGGGACCAACATGCACTTTTCTGCCTCCCATGCAGCCCTAATATCGTTTCTTTGTTTCGTCAGTGTTTGTGTGATGGTTGTAAATATTGTTTTCTTCACTTTTGCCGATGGGAATGACTCTTTAACCACTTTGAAATAAACTGGAACCAGTGAGTTTTTTATTTTGATAGAGAACACCTCTACAGTTGCTTCAACCACTTGTTTCAGATTTTGACCAATGGGTTCAGTTGCTGATGATCTTTTCCCCAAAAGATCTTTGGCTCTTTCTGAGGTTCCTTTTTCAGGCGAGTCCTTGCTGAGGGATGCAATTTTACTACCAGTTCCATCCTCTGCGTTTGCATCTGGTATTCTTTCTGAGGTTCCTTTTTCAGGCGAGTCCTTGCTGAGGGATGCAACTTTACTACCAGTTCCATCCTCTGCGTTTGCACCTGGTATTCTTTCTGAGGTTCCTTTTCCAGGCGAGTCCTTGCTGAGGGATGCAACTTTACTACCAGTTCCATCCTCTGCGTTTGCATCTGGTATTCTTTCTGAGGTTCCTTTTTCAGGCGAGTCCTTGCTGAGGGATGCAACTTTACTACCAGTTCCATCCTCTGCGTTTGCATCTGGTATTAGCACTTTTACAATCAGATAATTCTTGATCTGAAAGCAAAGAGAACAGAACTCAAATTACAAATCATAGGAAAAGTGTTCACTAAAAAAAGTTAACATGGGTCAGGTAAGTTGCAGTCACAGATTCTTGTTAGGTTCATTTTGTAAATAAGTAAAAAGTAATAGAGATGTGGAAACTGAAGGTTCTTTCAACTTGATTTCATTAGTGAACGAAGCACATTTTTAACATGGTCCTTCTGTATGTATGACTGGGGCATGCCTCTTGACTGCTACAAGGTCCAACCCCCAAGGGCATCTCATGCCCTCGAACACCCGCTTTGCAAGCCCCTCTTGCCTTAATGTGAATACAGCTGGTTAATTTGAGAACAGTCACAGGTCAAGAGCCCCCAAAAATCATGGGAATCGGCTCAGTAGATCTTTAGAATGAAACGTAACAAACATTGAACATTTACATTGTTTAATTGGGAGAATTTATTAGCTTCATCTTGTGATATAAAAGAGCCTGGGTTGTATTTTCAAACAACTACTTGAAAATAGATAGACCTGTATAGCACGGATCGTTTTTAGCTTTCACCCATCTCTGAAGCAGGACAGAAAGATGTGCATGATAGCTTTGTATCAGATATCTTTTAACTACAAACTTTAAAACTTGACTAGCAATAAGATGCAATTAACATTTTACAGCCCTTGCTTCATGTTAGTAAAGGTGATTCTGCTAATGTTTCGGCACAAAATGAAAAAGTTTGGCACAGAAAACAACAATTTTGTCCTTGTGAGAAACCCTACTGAGTGAATGTGAACTCCAATCTTCATACTCACTTAGCTACGGTCAGGGTGTCCACTAAATCTAGCTTGTCAAAAATCAGAGCTTTAAGTGTATTTCTTTAGTCTTTCTCCAATAAATTCCACACCTCCTCAACTGGAAAATTTAGTAAATTTTTGGTACCTTTGCGAGACCAAAATCGTAATTCACGAGTAAATCTCAACAAATATGACATAGCTATAAAATTCTGAGCTGATTGATAGCCTGAAGATGAACTGGCTGCACAAGCGCAATTTAGTAGGTAAATACTGCACTAAGAATTGACACACACAGGATTGCATACTTTTCACGCTGCCTTAAAAAGCTTGCCATGTATGAGTCAAACAATTCGAGGCCTTCATGCGGAATTTCCATAATTTTTCAATTCTTTCTGACTGCTTTAAAAAAAATTTGTACTATTTTCGGACTTTCCAGACTGGTAGACACCCTGCACAGTCTACTGAATTTGATTTTGGAATGTTTCTTATGATAAGACCCTTCTAGAAATTTTGAGACAGAAGAAAGCTATTTTTTCGTGTCACAGACATTGCATTTTGACACCTTAAAGAGTCATAAAGGAATAATTATTTAGAAAAAAATGTGAAGGAATCCTTGAACCCATGCAACAAGGATCCCCTTCAAAGTTACATTGAAAAAAAAGTAGACCTAAGAAAGGAGTACACTAAGAAATAGAGCATCATGGACATTACACATTTTGGATATGAATTTTAGATAAGTGATTCAACATTCACTTTTCTCATCAAATAGTGATCCTAATAAAATCTAAAGTTCATCTATGGGTTTAGCAAAACATGAAGTTCGTCAAATTCATATAAAGTATGATATTCTGATCACAATTCAAAAATTATTTCCATTTTTTGTTGTTACAGACATTCAGTCATATGTTGCAACGAGACTTTCTCCACCACAGTAAGGTTTTTAATCAAAACTAATTGCTTTCACTCGCCTATCTTGGTTTTTCTATTAATTTCGATACATACTAAGAAAAGAAAAAAAATTTTGAGTATTAAACTTTTGATGGAACAAAAAAATTTATTTTCCATCTTGAATTCCCCTTTTAAAAAAATGCCCAAAAAGGATCAAAGCTAGTACTCTCCAAGAAAAAACTTACCAATTGGAGGGCCTTCTGTATTTCTTCCGATAAACTGCTTGTGAGCATGCCAACAGTGTTCAGATCTATCATATTGGTTGTGTCATTGGCGTTTATGAGTGGCAACACTTTCTTTTTATTTTTAGGTCTTGCAACTGCTTTCCTTTTGTTCCCGTCATTTTGACTATCCTGCTGATTTTTGATTTCTGCATCCTTCTCGAGTTCTCCAGAAGAAACTTTTCTCGGCATACTCTCTTGATTCTGTAAGCAATCTCCTACAGTTTTATCAGCTTTTGTACCTGCTTTCTCCTCTTTGTTTCCAAGAATGTTTTCAGGTGATACCTTGTGAAGTAAAATGCAGAGTTAGTTTATTTATCTATTTTAATAATAGAGAGATATTCTGCCATGATAGCAAAGAGAGCCGTAACTCTCAAATTTTCTAAATCAAGTTTCCTTCAAAATTTGTCAGATCTGCTGCTAAAACAGCAAATTTCATCTTAATGGTGTAAAACGAGACATATGAGAAAACCCTAAGTGCGCAAAAATTGACGTTTTTTTTTTCATACGAAACAGTCTTGAGGAGCATTCCGCTAGAGAGTCAATGAGAGCAGTACTTCTAGGTGAAATGGCGCCCTTTACTGTCAATTTCTAAATTTGAAATTTCTTTGATGTGTGTCCAAAACTCAACCATATCAGCATGCAGTGGATAGCTTTTACGGTTGTGTTGCCTAACATGAAAATGAAAAAGACCCTTTTCATACAGCTGAAAATAAAATTTGTTGATTTTTAATCATCCGAATGATTTCTGAGAGTCTTTTGGATGATTACAGCCAATTTTAAAAAGAACAGAGGCTTCTTTCAATTATACCTAGTTTCCCCTCAAACACTGCTGCGCATTTCTTAAAACTTCATTTTTGCACTTGCGGCTCTCTTTGTCATCATGGCAGTACTGTAAGTAGATCATTCATTGTTACCTGCAGTTCAAAATAAAATTGCAGCAACTAAAAGTGGTGAAAAATTTGTGATAAAATGCTTAATCAATAAATGATAAATTGAACCATCAGTAAAAAAGAAAGAAAATCCTATCTGACAACTAAAACATAAAAATTAAAAAACTGTCTTAAACTGCGTACAATATTGCTAACACCAGTTGCTCCAATATCTTATAGAGCAAGACCTTGTTTTATGATATTCTTCTGATTTTTTAGAGAATTGAGATTGTAAGTCAATCTTGATGATCTGAGAAATATTCATGACTTTCTTTAAAAAGAAATATTTTTAGGGAGGAAATTTAGCAACATTCAAATGCTCTTATAGCGTTTTTTCTTGGCACAGCAGTGCTTCTGCCTCATTTCAGAAACAACGCATGCAACATTTATTTCCCTATTTAGGTAGGTGCTTTTATGGATGAGACAAGAATAGCGGCTCTTCATTTGCAAAATATAGTCCATTTGTACAAACCTTTTTCTTGGACTTCCGGACTCGCTTTTTCACTGGTTTAGGGGATGCAGGGCTTTCATCTTCAAATGAGCCTGAAGTAGGATCAAATGAATACTGTATTTTCTTCGGATTAACTTCCTCCTTCAGATCAATGGCCTCCTTCGTTGCATTTGAAGGTGTGATGACAAGTGGCTTTGACCTCTCTTTTGGGGTCGATGACTTGACAAAATTGTCAAATTTTGCAGGCGGGACAACTTTCCTCTCTGGGCGAACCCTGACAGGCATTTTAGCCGCAAAAAGTGGTTTATAATTCTTTCCATCTCCTGTCTTGTTATCTGACAATATCGTTTTGTGCGGTCCATTCGAGGACATTTGGTCGAGGTCCATTGTTGGATTCTCAATCAAGGCGGCCAAGGAGAAAGAATTCAGAATCTGAATACCACAATCAATATTGCTGGCGGTAGGCCTCAATGATGACTGTTCTGAGGCTGAGAGTTTTGTAGCTAGAGAGCTTCGTAGAGTAGGCAGAGACGTGACTTTGGATAATGTGGTTGTCTTCTTTGGGCGAGAGGCAGGAACTTGGGGGACTGGTTTGGGATGATTGAGATTTCGGCTTTTTGGTGATTTACAGGTCCTAACTTTATCAATATTCTGCTTCTGAACCTGATAGAGAAAAACATTTGAAAGATATGAAAGACAAGCAAGACGAAAAAAAAGTTTGATCTAATTTTACTAACTGTCGACAAAGCTAAGTGAATAGCACCTAGCTTTCTCTAAGTAAAATGCTTAGTTTACATCATAAAACGTGTCAAGGGATTCAATTGTATTGTAACAAAATTAAATTTAAAAAAAATAATTTTCATTAAGGGTACAGATTGTTTTAAGGCCTCTATAATTTTCTGCAATGCGCAAGGTTTTCGCAAAAAGGTCAACACGACACACATATCAAAATTTGGTTCAATTTGAGAATGTGTGCCGAATTGATATTATTTCACAAGAGGTGGAAATCTAAAAACTTATGAACGAAAAAAAACAAATTTCAGCTTTCAAATTTTTCAGGGCACTTCCACAATTTGGTCTCGGCAGCGCAGCCAAGAACAATTGGATTACATTTGGCAATTTGGCACTAAAATTGCCGACCCATTTCAGAAAAAACACACGTGCTATTAGTTTCCCTATGGAGATAGGTGCTTTAGGGAATGAGCCGAAAATTGTAGTCCTTATTTGCAAAATGTCGTCCAACTGGCACCCCTGACTTTTATCAGAGGAAAATTTTATAACCAGATGATAGTCCAAAAAACGCAGATGACACAAAATGACTCTAAACTTACCGAGATCTTTTTAATTCCTGAGGAAGGTTGTTTTTGGGCTTGTTTCATGGTGCATTTCATTGACAAATTATTCACTGCAATTAGCACCGAGAGACAATTCTTGCAAACTGTTTTCGGAAGCTCATCACTTTTGTCAACCTGCAAAAAAGGCAATAATGTGATTAAAATTGAGACTCCACATTGAGATACTGATACAATGACTGTATATGAGAATGGTGATGAATTTTTTACAGAATCAATGATTGAACTGAAGGACAAAACAACAGCTGTCAATCAAATTATTTATTAAAATATTTCTACTTCTCGATAGAACTTGAAATAGAGCACAAATAATTGATTGGAAGCCAAGCAGCAAAATCTAGAGGACAAAATATTGTGTTTTCCCAAACACATGGTTCATTACTAAGAACTGAATAATTTATCAGGAAGGTTAGTTTCAAGAAAGTTTATGGATGCAAAGAAATAAAAACTAATTACACTTACCGAAATAGGTAAAAATTTTTCAATGATGCGATCATATTTTTCTTTATCATTAAAAATATTTGTACACTCGTTGCTTTGCTCGCCACAAACACGACAGACACCAGAGACAAAATCCTCTACATCAAGTGACAGCGAAGGGGATTGACTGGAAATAGGAGTTTTTGCCTTCACATTGGTCTGATGTCTTGAACGAGGAAAATATTTCGACTTCTTGGAAATCAGTTTTTTTTTGGCACACTTCCGCTTAAAGCTGGTCTTACTTTGAGGATTACAACTTTTCGCTTTCCTCTTTGATTGTTTTTTATTATTCACCTTCATAAGCGTTTGATCAATATCAACTTTCAATAAACTGACAACTGGTCGCATTTTAAGTTTATTACACTCGAGTTTGATTGCCGGGTTTTCCGATTTGGATGGAAATATGTCGCAACCCTTCGTGACTCCAAATTCAGCTTCAGAGGGTGTCTTTAATCCTTCTTTGCTTGATTCAGGAGTATCAATTGCCTTAGCGCTACCAGTTTCTACTGAGATTGAGGGTTTTTTGCACGCTACGTTTGGTTCAAAAGATCTTATAGACGTTGAAATATTCACTTTTTCAGGACTAGATTGACTCTGTTTATCAACAGAAACCTCTGGTAACCTTTTGGAATTTATCAATTCCAAATTTTCAAGAAATTCGTTCTCACGAAATTCAGCAGAATCACTCAAACAAGCCGGTTCATCTTTTACACTGATTTTAGGTACAGCATCAGGCCCTTTATCGTTGTGTGTGACATCACACATTTCTTGCTTTGTGTCACCTGTTCTGGAAGTACCTTGTTGCTCGTCCATTTTAAGGTGAATTGATTTCGCAAACTGTGGCTTCAAAATAATTATTAGGCGTATCTCACCGGCGATGCACCACTGAAACATATAAAAATGAGCTTCTTGAAGTTGAAAAACTGTGAGACATTACATTTCCACAAACGATGCTTAATAATTCACGTTAGGCAAGGGCATCAATTTTTATCGAAGTAAATAGTCTAATAATAACATAAGTAGTATAATAGTAATAACATAATTGACTTGCTTCGTAGCAAAACAGGAGCAGAGATTTTGAAATACCACGATGGAGACAGGTCTGGCGCTCCAGCCAGAGATAAACTTTGAAACCTTCTATAGATATTAACAGTGTAAGTCGGTAATCACATGACTCGGTTTGCGACATCGTAGACTTCCTGCCATACTTCATTTCTTGGACGAAAAACTACTCAATGGCAATTCTTTAAAACTGCCGTGATTTTTCTTCTGTATGCAAAGAAAATTCTGCAAGAATTTCAAGGCATGATGACAATTTGTTCTCTTTTGAAAAAATTACATAATGGTGGAGATTTTCAGACACCGCAAACGAGATATGTGATTGCGGACTTGTGACGTTGATAAGTATACCTGAACGATTCTCCTCATTAACTGATTCAGTGTTCCTGGAACTACTAATCAAAAATTGGAATTGTAGATCAATCATCGAAGATTGAAAGCATTTTATCCAGAATTTGTTTTGTTTTTTAAGGCTATAATTTACAATTCTACGGAATGTTTTGAATACGAAGGAAGATTGAGGTTATGCACTAATTTACAAAGGTGGAGGGGTGAACCAACTACATACTGAAGTTCACTGTTGCAAGGCATTTAAATTAGAGCCGATCAAATCGGCATAATAGTTTTGAGAAGGTTCCTTACCGAGATATCGTATGGAATAATCTGGGACAGAGATCACTAAGTAAGGTGAATCATGGGTGAATGTAAATTCAGGAACTGATGACAAGACGACCCTAAATTATGAACAGAAACTTTGAAACATTTAAATAATTTCATGATTGAAAATATTTTTAACGCTTTCAATTGTCCTTACACAAATCACGACTGCAGACACTTAAATCATCAAAAAACTGGACGATTGGTAACTAATAATCAGTTGGCTAATTTCGCATTTCGCACAAAGTTTTTCAAGTTGTTTCTGTTGTCCGTTTCTTTTCTGTTTGCAACAGTGCTGCTGCGTGCGGAGCTTTCTAGAAACATGAATAAAATTTCAAATTAGCGCGCGTTTTTTTAAAAAACGGCTCTGTCACTAAAGTTGCGTCTCATATTGTGTGGTGTCCTAATGGGCGGATGGGAAATACTTCATAGCTGACCAACTAATGCATGAAATTTGTTGAAATTTAGACAACATAACGTATTTATTACGCACTCCCTTCTATTGAAGTCAAAATTATGCAAAGTTCTAAAAATGATGGAATACAGTGTTGCCAAATAATACTCAATGTGCCGTTCTTTTCGCATTTAATCTAATGACATAAATTATCGACATATATACGTAATTTTTGCAGAAAAAAAGTATTAAATTCAACCTTGAATCACAACGATTGGTGCTTACATGGGTACTTCATCCTCCAATGATCCTTTCCTTTTAATAAAATACAGAGTTGCCAATTGATCTTAAAACGCGCACTTTTAAAAAATAAATTAATTATATTTATAAAGTCGCTCTTACAACGTGTTCTGGCGTCCTGCGACACCCAAATGCCACATATGCCTATTGCCTATCCTTCCAGAGGTTATCGGGCAACTAACACCGCAACATCTCTTCGTCAACGCCCTGCCGCCACCCCTTTGCGGGACGCCCCCGTCGCCTCTTCCCAGGTGGTACCCAATCCAAAACTTGTTTGGGCAACCTCTCCTCCAACATTCTTTGTACATGTCCATACCAGGATAACTGCCTGGACATGACGTCGTGCACAATATCTTTTTTCACCTTCATCACCTGGCGAATTCTTTCATTACGGACACGGTCCCGTCTCGAAATGCCGGCAGATCGCCGCCAAAAGTCCATTTCAGTTGCCCTGAACATTTCTTGCGTTCTTTTCGTCAAAGGCCACACTTCACTAACATAGAGCACAATACTTTTAACGATGGCGTCATATATCCGCGGTGCTTGTTTGCCTTTGAAATGCTCTGATCCCAGAGCACCCCGTTCAGCATCGCGATGGCTCTCCTGCTCTGGATGATCCTGTCCTTAATCGCCCTATCCATCCCTCCATCCTGATCTAACCCGACACCGAGATACTTATACTCGTCACACTCTTCGATGCGCCGTCCATCTTCAAGCTCTATGCTTTGCCGTTTATGCGCTGCTCCCACAACCAGCTTCTCTGTCTTGGACACACTAACATCCATGCCCCATTTCCCATATTCTTCGACCAATTTCCGCACCATGTGATCCGTATCTTCTTCATCTTGAGCTATTGATCTGGTCATCGGCAAAGCATAGAGTATAAAGGGTCTGCCCATCAAGGAGTGGAACGCCCATTCCCGCGACCTTACTACTAATATTACAGGGTTGAAATACGAATTCTCATGGTAAAATGTGAATATAATAACTAACCAGGAGTGCTTGCAGAAATATTTGTCACGAACAAAAGATTTGGTAACCTTTAAATGAGCCTTTATCACTAGCATCATAACGGTAGCGCGCCATCGGCTTGATGTACTTGATATCGTAATATGTAAAAATGCCACGAAAATAACCTTTCTTGTTCTCTTGCATTAGTTTTTCTCGGAGCATTTAACCTTGCCATATACTCGCACCGGCGCGCCCAAAGACATAAAGACGGAGCACTAAAAGCAAAAAATGAAGCTTCTAGAGCTTCTTTTCAATCACCTCTACTATTGGCTAGAGGATTGGCGGCGAAATCGGGACAAGTTTGAATTCAAATGTAGGGCGGGAACTAATAAATAAAATTGCGGAAACAAAGTATTTTAGGTTGATTTTTGCCCAAATTCAGGTACACACTCATATTTTATTAACTTTAGGTTAGTTTCGGTCCGTCGTCGACCGACTGATTTCATTTGGGAGTAACGTAGATCTAGAACTGTAACGGCCTGTTTGAACCTGCAGAACCATCATAAGCAGAAGAAAAACTAACTTTATCTGAGATTACTGCCTGTTACCGAGCAAAAGTAGGTGTAATATATTAGGACGCAGACCGAACTTTCTTAATATAATCGTTTAAAGCATTTAAAACACGTTTCGAAGAAGAAATAAGGAAAAATCAAGAGGACAAGTTCAAATCAAATTTCCGTTTGCCGCCATGGATTCCCGCGCTCATTTACACACTCACACAAACGCGCAGCGCCGAACCTAGCTTCACTTTTTCCCCGTGCTTTTAGATACGAGCACTCCGTCTTTATGTCTTTGGGCGCGCCACACACTGCTGCGTGCTCTAGGTGCTTGGTAGACTGGAGCACTATAGCAACCTGAGCGCCTTCCATTTTTTCTTATGCAGCACGCGCGTCCATAGAGTAGGAATAGTTGTATCAAGGCGTCATGATCAACATGAGGAAGCATTGGGTCAAGTCATTTTGTCAGTCAGTCAGTTGAGCTGAGGTCTGTTCTTCGGTGGACGGTCATATTTCGACGGCCTAAGTCCGCAATCATACATTATCTCGTTTGCAGTGTCTGCAAATCTCCGCCCCTCTATGTTATTTTTTTAAAGGAGAAAAAATGACATCATTCCTTGAAATTTACGCAGAATTTTCTTCGCGCAGAGAAGAAAAATCACGGCAGTTTTGAAGAATTGCCGTTGAGTAGTTTTCCGTTGAAAAAATAAAGTGTGACAGGAAGTCTGCGACGTTGCAAACCGAGTTATGTGATTGTCGACTGACACCGTCGCGTCGATTTGTAATTATTTGCGAAAATTGCGAAGAAGTGCCTGTTATTTCCGGACAGAAAATTTCGCTAAAAAAACAACACACTCTTTCCCTCTTATTCATATTACTCGACGGTATTTGGAAAAGTGCGGATCATGTAATACATTAGTTTCGATCCCTTGTACAAAAAATATCCACGAGTTTCAAAAATTTACAGATTTTCAGAATTAATCGTTCACTTGTCCGTTTAGTCAATTCTAGAGAAAGCCAGTATTCCTAGCAGTCAAAATCCTAGTTGTTACTACTATTACTATTAAAATAAATATTGAAGATTTCTCATCTAGTGTAGAAAATATATTTATGTCTCTTCTTTTTACTGATATAATTTTTCACTCAATTATAATATTTATATTTTTTTTAAAAATTATCACGTTTGTTTTTGTTGATAAAAGTAGCCAGAAAAAATGGCTCCTTCTCGCGAAGCAAAATCGACGGTGTAAGTCGGCAATCACATAACTCGTTTGCGGTGTCTGAAAATCTCCGCCTCTATGTTATTTTTTTAGAGGAGAACAAATTGACATGGTTCCTTGAAGTTTTTGCAGAATTTTCTTCGCATAGAGAAGAAAAATCACTGGAGTTTTAAAGAATAGCCGTTGAGTAGTTTTCCGTTTAAAAAATAAAGTGTGATAGGAAGTCTGCGACGTCGCAAATCGAGGTATGTGATTGCCGACTTACATCGTCGAAATGCATTCCATTTGACAACGAGGTTTGGAGCCGAGAAATACGGATACCTCGGGGCTGCTCTCTAAAGCCCCGACAAAATATCGGCGCAGATTCCGAGTTTCGATTGTAATACAAATCATGATTCATTGTTGCAAATGTTAGGCGACGCGCGGGTTAGCATGTGTGTGCTGTATTGGACGATTATAATGTGGGCGAAGAGAGAGAAGGAGGAAATCCGAGAGGAACCGAGGAAGGGATCGCAAGAGGTTAGAGGATTGAGGTCCCAAAGTCTTCACGCAATTCGATGTTCAAAGTGCGAAATCACGTATCTCCATTGCGGTATTTCAAAATTTCCGCTCCTTTTTCATTTTTTCGGAGAGGAACAAGCCAGCTTCCAGTGTTCGAAACTCACCTTGGAGTTTTAGGAGCCATTTGGCGCATAATGCCCGCTTTTTAGGCGCCGTTTAAGATTTTTTAAAGGCCAAATTGACTTTTTGCCTCTATATTCGCATTTAGTGAAAAGTTAGACGCAAGATGTTTCCGTAACAGAACCACTAAGTAGCTGTAACTTGTGAAGGCAAAAGCACTAAGGATGAAATCGTGAAGAATAGAAAAAGCTTTCAATTGTAGTGCTGAAAATTTCGAATAATCACCTAGGTAATATGAAAATTCAGATTTTTAGGGGCCACGTTGGCGCAGAGCCATTATTTTTTAGGCGCCATGGCCGATTTTTTAGGCGCATTTGGGGCGTTGGTGCCTGTGAGTTTCGAACACTGTTCACGGCTTAAGACATTTTTACAGGATACTCTGTTGACAGAGAAGGAAAATCAAGGAAATGTTCAAGAAATTACGTTGACCAGTTTTTTTCAAGAAACAGTAAAGTATTAAAAGGAGTCTGCAACGTCCAGACGGAGGTGCAGGGTTTCGCACTTCGGCCATCGAAGCATCTCTTTGTACGAATTCCGGAAAATAAGTGAACATGCAGGGTGCTTTAAAGTTAAACCGCCAGATGCAGAAGCGTGTTTTATGGGTCAAAATAAGGCTTTTTTTCTTCCTTGGAATTTTTTCCAAAAGTGCTTTTAAAGAGGATCGAAGCAAACCCCCCCCCCCCGCCCCCAAGTTCTGGGAAATAAATTGTTTTTTTCTGAATATTGGCAACGGTCATGCAAAGAATTTCATGGCAATGGGTATACACTCATAATTAGAAATGCTGAATTCGGTGGTGACGTTAGAAGCATCGAAATCTCATTTAAAAATGAGATTTTGGAGGGGGGGGGAGATTCGCCTCTGGCTTAAGTTCAAGCTATAATGTTGGCTTATTTATCATTGGAAAAATAAAATAAGTGCGGAAATTATAAAACCTCGAAATGTACACACAAGGTTTAGCACTTTGGCCATCGACATCGTCTGTGATCGAAACATTTTGTCACCCGTTTCCTCTTTCTCCGTATTTGACTTTTTATTTTCACACGCGTAAATGCGCGCTTGTATTTTCATTACAACTACAGGTACTGCATTACTCCCCACTAATTAAGTTGAGAAATTGAGAGGTTGCGGGTTGCTAACTTTCAAATC